TCTCCCTTTTAAGCCTTTCCCCACCTGCTTGAGCTCTCTTTCTTTTTCTAGCTACATTTCTTTTAGCTCCAGTGGGAACTCCGTACTAGGATCATTTTGTTAGCCGACTGGGGCCAGATTATCCTCAGACAACAGATCTTTATCCACTAAGTGGACGATGATAAACACAGATCAGAACGTAAACAACATTTTCCCGTTCAAGGGAGTGGAGGGTGCTGTAGAGCGCCACACATTTAATCGGTGACGGCAATATCATAACAAAGGTGGGGTGAGACTATGGCTGCCTGCAACTACTTGTGATGAATATATCTTTTTCAACACATGAGGCTTACCTTTAACCAGGTTCAACTAGCTGTTATTTAGGTTTACTTTATCCAGGGTAAAAGTTTTTTTTTTTTTTTTTTTTTTTTTTGTGGGGAAAGTTTTTTTTTTTTTTTTTTTTTTTTTGGGGGGGGGGGGGGGTTCCTTGTGTCAGTGGTGGATTTAGAAGACGGCTTAGGAACTCGAACATGTCGTTTTTTTACACCAAGACACTGGCTGTTATCCCTGGAGGAATAAGACAACATCCTGGCATTTTTTTCTGAATCCGATGCTGCAAAATGAGTTATCATTTACAAATTTTCTCATTTTGGTAGTATTAAATTTAAGTGAATTGTATTATCGTTGATAATTATTTTAAATACTCTTTAAATAGCCGGTTCTCACGCTGTATCTGTTGATGCCACTATTAATAATTTCTATCACTCCTGTGTTTACAAAGGGGCGAAACAATTTTCCGCACCTCTCCAGGTGGGAAAAAAACGCCCTGCAGTTGACCGAAGCTACTGCCTGCCCCCCCCCCCCCCCCCCCCCCCCCCCCCCCCCCCCCCCAAAAAAAAAACAGTATAAAATAAAGAAAGCGCCTTCCCCGGGGCAGATAACCCCCCGCCGGACCCCCCGCCCACCCCCTTTCTACGCCACTGGTTTCAGCCCTTGCTAAATATCAAATGTATTGCATTATTTCCATTTTAAAGAGAAACAAAATCTTTTCTTTCTCATTTCTGAAATCTATTTCTATTCTGATTGAAACACTAATCTTCCACCTCAATCTAATGCCTCTCTCTTGTGAAGTTAATCTCTCCCTCTATCTAGCCAGCCCGGATACAACCCATTCCAACCAAATTCACTCTACCTCGGGTCGAGGTAACGCAGTTTTTCCTTTTCTTTTAACCAAAATCCTTGAAAATCCTATATGAATTTTAAAAAAAAAATAAATAATAATCTAATCCATCAGTTCAACCTTAATCACATAACTGTGTTTAATTCCCTGGTCAATCCCTGGCTGTTGGCAGCTCATTAAGACATCACGAGACATGCGAACGCTCCTGTAATGACACATTAATTGTGGAAATAAAGATCTCGTTACGCCCTTAGTCAACACGAATAGCATCCATTTCCAGCCAGCGTTTGGTGGGCGGGGAGGGGGGGGGGAATGGAGTCTTCAACTTAAGTTTTTTTTTACTTCTACTCCAGTTAAGAATGTGGAATTTGAGACTTGCGTCACACAGAAATGCCTTTCTTTTGTGATTTTTAAAAAAAATATAGAAAACTGAAAAGTTTCTCAAAGGTATGTTTCTTCTTTGGGACATTGACATTTGTAAGTATTGATATAAATGGGCGTGGCCATGAGAATAAAGTCAATAAATGGGTGTGGTTCTGGCAGAGGTCAATATATGGGCCTGGTTCTTGGAGGATAGTCAATACATGGGCGTGGCTCTGTCAGGGGTAAATTGGGAGCCTGGTTCTTGGAGATGGGCGTCGTTCTGGGAGGGAAGTCAATACATGGGCGTAGTTCTGGGAGGGAAGTCAATACATGGGTGTAGTTCTGGGAGGGAAGTCAATACATGGGCGTAGTTCTGGGAGGGAAGTCAATACATGGGCGTAATTCTGGGAGGGAAGTCAATACATGGGCGTAGTTCTGGGAGGGAAGTCAATACATGGGCGTGGTTCTGGGAGGGAAGTCAATGAATGATGTTTGCTGGAATGTTTGTTAAAATTATCTTCTAGCATTAACATTGCCCGTGTTGTTTAAATAAATATGGCTTATATTTAAGTTCGATACGTTGATATTTAAGTTCGATACGTTGATATTTGAGTTCGATAAGTTGATATTTGAGTTCGATACGTTGATATTTAAGTTCGATACGTTGATATTTAAGTTCGATACGTTGATATTTAAGTTCGATACGTTGATATTTAAGTTCGATACGTTGATATTTGAGTTCGATAAGTTGATATTTGAGTTCGATACGTTGATATTTAAGTTCGATACGTTGATTTTTAAATTCGATACGTTGATATTTGAGTTCGATAAGTTGATATTTGAGTTCGATACGTTGATATTTAAGTTCGATACGTTGATATTTAAGTTCGATACGTTGATATTTAAGTTCGATACGTTGATATTTAAGTTCGATACGTTGATATTTGAGTTCGATAAGTTGATATTTGAGTTCGATACGTTGATATTTAAGTTCGATATGTTGATATTTAAGTTCGATACGTTGATATTTGAGTTCGATAAGTTGATATTTGAGTTCGATACGTTGATATTTAAGTTCGATACGTTGATATTTAAGTTCGATACGTTGATATTTAAGTTCGATGCGTTGATATTTAAGTTCGATACGTTGATATTTAAGTTCGATACGTTGATATTTAAGTTCGATACGTTGATATGGATCTTGACGCCTAAAAACTTGAGGGCCTTTTTGTTGAGATGGACCAAGGATAATTTCTGCAAAGCGGGTTTTGATCACAATACTTACCTGGGCACGTGATCAAATTGACCGCACTTACCCTCTCAGGTAAGAACTGTTTTTTTTAAAGGACAAATACAAACATTACATTTTTAACGCTTTGATTTGAACGCATCCAATTCAAAGGCTAAACCATACAATGCATTTCAATCACAAACAAATTGTAATAAAAATTGAGGTGGCAAGACGTGGCTAATCGGAACAGTAAACTTTAACCATTGACTCGACAGGTTTTAACACAGGTCCCTGTATAACCAATATCTTCTGGTCAATTTCTTCTGACCAATATTATCTTCTGGGCAATATCTACTAACAAATATCTTCTGGTCAATATCTACTAAACAATATATTCTGGTCAATATCTACCAACCAATATCTTCTGGTCAATATCTACTAACCAATATCTTTTGGTCAATATCTACTAACCAATATCTTTTGGTTAATATCTACTAACCAATATCTTCTTGTCAACATCTACTAACCAATATCTTCTGGTCAACATCTACAAACAATATCTTCTGGTCAATATCTACTAAACAATATCTTTTGGTCAATATCTGCTAACCAATATCTTCTGGTCAATATCTACTAACAAATAGCTTCTGGTCACTATCTTCTGGTCAATATCTTCTCGTTAATATCTTCTGGTCAATATATTCTTGTCAGCATCTTCTGAATAATATCTTCTTGTCAATATTTTTGGTCAATATCTTCTGGTTAATATCTTCTGACAAATATCTTCTGATCCAGATCTTTCTCACTTCTGGCCAATGATTCCTTTTCTATATTTCTAATCACAGTTTATCATGTTAACATAAAGTAGACCTCTCCCTGCCACGTGAGTCAATAGAGACGGTGCTCGTGAACACGTGACTTTGATCCACGAAACATTGGGTACTATGACCTACAACTACTTCTGACTTCATCTTGCCACCTTGACGATAAGCCAATTAAAGTTAAAGTGCGACCTAATGATTTGCCTTTTCTCGAAAATAGAAAGGTAAATAGATACTTTTTGAAAATTGGCTTCTGTGCGTCGGTCAATCTTACCTTTGTGTATAGTTTCTCAACTTAAAATTTGTCCTACGACATTTCAAATAAGTCGTTTATGTCTCCTCTATTTTAGAAAACGATATTTGTTTGGAAAGCGTCGGATGGGGGGGGGGGGGGGTGTTAGAGTGTCCTGCTTAACCACTTCCTTCCATTCTCACCGATCCAAATCCTTCTCTACATCGTCATTCCATATCAGTCCTGGTCGACCGGTGGGCAGCCTGCCCCTAGGTTTGTTTTTGTAGGTCTCTAACACCACTCCACAATCCGCTTTACAATGTCAAACAATGGAAATATCACATAGTAACATGAAAAACACTATCTACTCAGGCATTTAATAATATTTCATTAATAAGATTCCAATTTTTTTTAAAGATGTATTCCAATAATATAATAGAAGGTGCAGATACAAGGGTTAAAAAAAAAATCTATGGATAAAAAGAATCTCGTGTTGCACGATTAAATTAATAGAATATCTTGGCTTATCTAACAGTGTTTCCCAATATTGTATTCACCGACCAACGCCGGTCAACGAGCCTGACATTGCCGGCCATCGAGTCTTTAATTGCCGGTCAACGAGTCTTTAATTGCCGGTCAACGAGCCTACCATTGCCGGTCAACGAGCCTAACATTGCCCGTCAACGAGCCTAACGTTGCCCGTCAACAAGCCTAACATTGCTGGTAAACGAGCCTAACATTGCCGGTCAACGAGCCCTAACATTTCCGGTCAACGAGCCTAACATTTCCGGTCAACGAGCCTAACATTTCCGGTCAACGAGCCTAACATTTCCGGTCAACGAGCCTAACATTTCCGGTCAACGAGCATAACATTTCCTTCGAGCCTAACATTTCCGGTCAACGAGTATAACATTTCCGGTCAACGAGCCTAACATTGCCGGTCAACGAGCCTAACATTTCCGGTCAACGAGCCTAACATTGCCGGTCAACGAGCCTAACATTTCCGGTCAACGAGCCTAACATTGCCGGTCAACGAGCCTAACATTGCCGGTCAGCTCACAATTTCGTTGACATAGTCTAACATATTATTTCACACCAATGGAATTTCATAGTGTCATCATTAGGCACATCATCGTCATCACATATTACGTCACATCTTTCACGGGATGGGGTGTGGCGGCCACGTCACTCATCATTCCCAAACAGCCACCGCTACGCTACATCCGGCCTGGTGACGTCAACATCGGCGGGATCATTTCCGGCCTGCAGTACGACAAAGATGGCCTCTGTGGAGACTCGAGCTTCATAGACTCCTCGTTCCACTTCTCCGAGTCCGTCGTGTTCGCCATCGAGGAGATCAACCGGAACCTGTCGATTCTGCCCAACGTGACCTTGGGCTTCGCCATCCTTGACGACTGCATGAAGGAGACAACATCCGCCATACACGCCATCAGTTTCATCAAGGACGCGGGCGGCTCGTTGCTGGGTAGCAGCCCGAACGGCACGGTCACGGCCCAGATGTCCCATGAAGTAGAGGACATACTTCCTTCTTATGACGTCGTTGGGGTCATAGGTTGCTTGCGCAGTTCCAACAGTATGGCGGCGTCCACCGTCCTGGGACCTGCTCACCTCCCATTGGTCAGTTTCACGTCCACTAGCGAGACGCTGAGTGACAAGGAATTGTATCCGTACTTTCTAAGGGTTGTGCCGTCCGATAACTACCTGGTGAGTACTACATAGTGTACTGAAATAGGTCCATGGTGAGTTTATGATATGAATAATACCTGCCATGCGAATTTCAGATATTAATAATACCTGCCAGTTGACTTTATATTTTCAAATGAAAACTGCCAGGTGAGTTTATGGTATCCACGATAACTTCCAGGTGAGTTCATAATATCAAAAATAAATTCCAGATGAGTTTATGATATCAAAGATAACTTCCAGGTGAGTTTATGATATCAATAATAAGTTCCAGATGAGTTTATGATATCCAAGATAACTGCCAGGTGAGTTTATGATATCCTAGATAACTGCCAGGTAAGTTTAAATAATATAATATAATATTTAACCACCTGGTAAATTTAAAAAAAAAATATATTTTTTTATTTAAATGATAACTTCAACGCGAGTTTTTGAAATGTATAATAGCTCCGTGGCTAGTGCATACAATAAAATAGTTCTTTCCTCAAATAACTTTTTTTTGTGTGTGTTTTTTTTTTGTCTTTTTGAAAATGGAGCGATACTTTTTTCATTTTCATAATTGTCCCAGGTGGATGCCCTCGTCGAGTTGATCAGCCATTTCCAATGGAGCTACATCTCGGTGCTATACGCCGAGGGCAGTTTTGGAGAAATCGCTTTCCAGGTAATGATACGATAATTGACGCCTGCTGGAAAAACAAATTTTTTCCCCAGTGCACGACACTGTCCGCCCATCAGACATTTCAACATTTTAATTGTCATGTGTCCTTTATCGTGTTTGGAGTCGGTTTCCATGGTGATAAAGGGGTAAACCGTCCAAGAACCACTTTAAAAAAACAGAAATCAACTAGTGATGGGGGGGGGTGTCGTTATAAGACACAAAATTACAAGGATGTGATAAGGCAGACAATTACAAGATATGTTATAAGGCAGACAATTACAAGGATGTTATAAGACAGACAATTACAAGGATGTTATAAGACAGACAATTACAAGGATGTTATAAGACAGACAATTACAAGGATGTTATAAGACAGACAATTACAAGGATGTTATAAGACAGACAATTACAAGAATGTTATAAGACAGACAATTACAAGGATGTTATAAGACAGACAATTACAAGGATGTTATAAGACAGACAATTACAAGGATGTTATAAGACAGACAATTACAAGGATGTTATAAGACAGACAATTACAAGGATATTATAAGACAGATAATTACAACGATGTTATTAGACAGACAATTACAAGGATGTTATCAGACAATTACAAGGCTTTTATAAGACAGATAATTACAAGGCTTTTATAAGACAGATAATTACAAGGATGTTATTAGACAGACAATTACAAGGATGTTATCAGAGAGACAATTACAAGGCTTTTATAAGACAGATAATTACAAGGCTTTTATAAGACAGATAATTACAAGGATGTTATTAGACAGACAATTACAAGGATGTTATCAGAGAGACAATTACAAGGCTTTTATAAGACAGATAATTACAAGGCTTTTATAAGACAGATAATTACAAGGATGTTATTAGACAGACAATTACAAGGATGTTATCAGAGAGACAATTACAAGGCTTTTATAAGACAGATAATTACAAGGCTTTTATAAGACAGATAATTACAAGGATGTTATTAGACAGACAATTACAAGGATGTTATCAGAGAGACAATTACAAGGCTTTTATAAGACAGATAATTACAAGGCTTTTATAAGACAGATAATTACAAGGATGTTATAAGACAGACAATTACAAGGATGTTATTAGACAGACAATTACAAGGATGTTATTAGACAGACAATTACAAGGATGTTATCAGAGAGACAATTACAAGGCTTTTATAAGACAGATAATTACAAGGCTTTTATAAGACAGATAATTACAAGGATGTTATAAGACAGACAATTACAAGGCTATTATTAGACATATAATTACAAGGATGTTTATATAGCGTGTGAATTGTTTAACAAGCCGTGTCAGCTTCATGGCTGCTCGTACTCCTCTCATTGGCAGGCGCTGAGGTCAAAGGTCAGCAAGATGAAGGGCGTGTGCATAGCCACGTCACATAAGATATACCAGAAGGCGTCCTACGAGGACCATTTGTGGATTATGAAGGTGAGACCCGCACATACACACACATTCATGCACACATACTTACACATATGTACACATACATACATACACACACAAACAACCCACACACCTATTCACACTGCCACTTAAAGCTTATATAGGAGGATCCTTTGTGGATTATAATGGTGATACACAGGCGTACATACAAACACACCTAAATACATACATAAACAAACATCCCAAACCGGTACAATCGCATGGTAATGTTTTATTATTCGGGAAGTTTATTAATCATGTGAAACAATGTGTCTTATTCCTTGGGCGTCGAAGGCTCAAAGATGTTGAGTAGGGGGGGGGGCTGGGGGAGGAGGGATTATTGAGCCCTTTCGCGAAAAATTTTCAAAATTAAATGATTCATTTTGGCACAAACCTTAATTTAGCTTTGTATTATTTTGCACTTAATATGAGAGCAACATACTAAAGGTGTCTCTTGACGCGGTTGTGTTGATGCAAATACTCTATTTTAAGTTGTTACTCAGTAACATACATATTCTGGTTGGTTTTTGAGCTTACGCTCCTAAAGCCCCGGCTAGTACATTGGCAACGAGCTCCATCTGCTGGGCTGAGCCCTATAACATTGTATGAACGTAGAACTCTCGAGCTGACCAGGCCTTCCTTGAAACATCCATGGTGGGGCACGAAGTCAACACAAGCGTTGATAATCTCTGGGGCCAGCGTGCAATGCCGATAGTTCGGGTTCCTGTTGTTGTAAGAGTTAGTCGGGCAGTGTTCCGTTAGCATTTAGGTCAACAGATTATGGAATCGGCGACTCAGTTTCCACCAGGAGTCAGTTCATGGGATGTGTTTTGTTGGCGTATACACATCCGGGCCTTCGTGCCGTCTGCCAACTGTCAGTACCACTTTGTCCTGAAGGGGTCCGTCGGACAGTTTGTGTCGTCTGCCTACTGTCAGTACCACTTTGTCCTGAAGGGGTCCGTCGGACAGTTTGTGCCGTCTGCCTACTGTCAGTACCACTTTGTCCTCAAGGGGTCCGTCGGACAGTTTGTGTCGTCTGCCTGCTGTCAGTACCACTTTGTCCTGAAGGGTCTGTCGGACAGTTCGTGCCGTCTGCCTACCGTCAGTATCACTTTGTCCTGACGGGGGTCCGTCAGCCAGTGTTTGACTGAGATAAATGACTGGTGTTTCTGTTTGGGACTGGGCAGCAGTCGCCCCCCCCTCCCCCGGATTTTTGCCAGTATGTCTACTCTTGTCAATACTGATAGCAAACAATAAATAAAGTCTTTCTTTTTATTTAACTACTGATGAACGTGACAGACGGTGAGTTGTGGTGCGGTTTAGAATCGGGAGCAGCTTATATTTGGAACAGTATGGTACTCAGAAAGGAATGCTGTATTAGAATCTAGTATTGTCTTAAATATATCTCATCATCAAATATTTTGAGCATAGCGATATTTCCTCGATTAACCTATTTCACTAATGTTACTTACAGGGTTAAACAGATGAGTTAAACCATTTTTGTAGTTATATTTTTAATACAATGTATTTTCGCTTATACCTATATGTTGACCTATTTTTATCCTGAGGGTGGGGGCACTTGACTTTCCCTTGATGGGCAGTGTCCCCCTCCCCGCATCTCCCCCCCCCCGGCCGAGGGATGCCTGGAAGAAAGATACTTTTTTTCGTAATGTATTTAAATGCTACTTTTTAATACGTTTAAACTCGTCTTTGATAGAAATTCTTTTTATAATAAGAAGTCTTCTAACCATTATTTTTTTAAAATTGATTATCTATATGAGTCTTTATGTACCTGTTATGGTGGACTAGCGGACTGGACCGTCCCGATAGCCATACATCACGCATGCGCAGACAATGTAGTCAGAGAGAGTGTATGATTGTAGAGTGTGTTCCGGAAGCAAGCAGAATGTCATCACTATTGAGAACCTGTATTTATGTATATAAAATAAAGTTTATTGTTTTAAATAAAAAAACATTGAAAACATAACAGTACCGCTTCTACACATTTCGTTTCATGCCGTCTTGAGAGATACTTTGTTCCACTGGCCATTGGCTGCTCTGTCTCTCCTTCCCACCAGGACCTGCTGGCCCACAAGAACGCCAGAGTTGTCGTCACATTCACTGACCCGCCCAGTGTCCTGCAGCTGCTCAAGGCCAGCCGTCAGCTAGGAACGAGCGGATGGTACATCTGGTTGACCAATGACAGCTGGAAGCTGACACTGGGTGACATTACCGACAAGGTAAGCCGTCAGCTAGGAACGAGTGGATGGTACATATGGCTGACCAATGAGAGCTAGAAGCTGACACTGGGTGACACTACCGACAAGGTAAGCCGTCAGCTAGGAATGAGTGGATGGTACATCTGGCTGACCAATGACAACTGGAAGCTGACAATGGGTGACACTACCGACAAGGTCAGCCACTGAGTTATATTTTTGACGCGGTAAATGCTATGAGTGGTTATATTAAACCAATGGCTCTCAACCCGTGGGTCGCGACCCCTTTGGAGGTCGAATGACCTTTACACAAGGGTCGCCTAAGACCATCGGAAAACACTTAATAATATAATGGGTGGGGGTCACCACAACATGAGGAACTGTTTTAAAAGATCGTGGTATTAGGAAGGTTGAGAACCAATGTATTCAACTATTCAAGCCTACGTGCAATAAGCTGCTTTAATCAGTGGCGTAGCGAGGGTGTTTGGCGCCTGGGGACAAGATTCGCGCCCGGGGACAAAAATCCATTTTTAGCGCCCCTTTTTCTTTTTTTCAACTCCCAAACCCATTATTTTCATCAATAAAATAATATCTAGCACATTTTGGCGCCCCTAACTAGCTCGCGCCCGGGGACATCTGTCTCCCACCCTGCCCCGAACCAAGCTACGCCTCTGGCTTTAATGGACGAGTTGTTCCCAGTGACCAATGGATTCGACTTGCATGATTGAACACTCAGCTCCCGTTCCCGTCACAGGCTAATAATTCTGCTCGGGGGAGGGGCTCCGGGGAGGGATTGGGGGGGGGGGTGAGGGGAGTAGGCTAGCCGGGAGACCACCCGTCGCTTGACGCTTAACTGTCAGGCCTACCACAACATAACATCCCTGAGGTGTAATTCATTTATCCTTGACCTTTCCAGGACGTGATACAGTCCGTGGCGGGAAGCTTTGTCGTCGGCTTCCAGTCCCCGGTCTCCCAGGAGTACAACAGGCACGTGCTGTCGATGTCGCCTGTCACCAACAGCAACCCCTGGTTTAGAAAGTAGGTCGCGTTTACCAAAAATGATGTCTGGAACTTTCTTTACTCACACTGAGTAGAAAGAAACAATATTGATAATATCATTAACGCATTCTTGGCTCGAGGGTTCTAAAACTGAATAAGGATCTATGACACTATAATTCCACCAAACTTTAGTAAAACATTACGTGAAAATAATATTCGATTTAACCCCATTCCCCCCCCCTTCCCCAAGAAAACCATTGCACCACATGATTTAAAATAACAAAACAAAACGCAATTTAACTTTAATAAGTTATTTACGTTTCAAAACATAAAAATTGATATTGAAACATCAAAAATAAATTTTGATGTTGAAACATCAAAAATAAATATTGATATTGAAACATTAAAAATAAATATTGATATTTAAACATCAAAAATAAATATTGATATTTAAACATCAAAAATAAATATTGATATTGAAACATCAAAAATAAATATCGATATTGAAACATTAAAAATAAATATTGATATTGAAACATCAAAAATAAATTTTGATATTTAAACATCAAAAATAAATATTGATATTGAAATATCAAAAATAGATATTGATATTGAAACAGCAAAAATAAATATTGATATTGAAACATCAAAAATAAATGTTGATATTGAAACAATAAAATAAATATTGATATTGAAACATCAAAAATAAATATTGATTTTTGAAATATCAAAAATGAATATAAAAAGATTTCACAATTTAAAAAAAAAGTTGGACGAGGATTCAAACCCATTCTCCCACGCCTACTGGGCTTAAATCAACAATCAAAATATGTAACACACAAGTATAACCCCGTTGTTCAGGTCCACGTGACGTGTTGCTTCTCAGGTATTGGTCGGAAAGATTTAACTGCTCGCTGACGGACACGGCCTGCGTTACCGAGAACAACGTGACCTCCCTCCCAGCCTGGGGCAGCTACACATATGCCTCGAACGCCTTTGATGCGGTCCTGACCTACGCCCATGCCATCGATGCCGTCATCAAGAGCAGGTGTCCCCATCGCACAGGAAGTGACGTCAGGAGCTGCATCTCTGGACCTGATCTCTTAGCTGTGGGTAAAATTGGTGGGGGGGGGGGCAGGGGGGAGAGACAGGTTTAAATGTATGTGTTAAAGTGTGGGGGTGGGAGCCTTTTAACTTTACTAAAACAACAAATATCACCTCCATTTCATCTCCACGCCTCATCTCTGGACCTGATCTCTTAGCTGTGGGTAAAATTGGTGGGGGGGGGGGGCAGGGGGGAGAGACAGGTTTAAATGTATGTGTTAAAGTGTGGGGGTGGGAGCCTTTTAACTTTACTAAAACAACAAATATCACCTCCATTTCATCTCCACGCCCCCTTCATCTCGCTCACTTTGCCCCTCATACTATGACCCCCCACCCCACTCCCTGCCCAACAATTTTCTTACGTCTTATCTTAGTTAAAACGCTATCATCATGTACAAATAGTTGTACCGGACTAGAAGCAGACATTAACTTGTTAAAACGCTACCATCATGTACAAATAGTTGTACCGGACTAATCGAAGACATTGGCCTGTCTTTTTTTCAGGCGATGAGGAACTCCTCCTTCTACGGATCGACTGGCCTCATTGAGTACGACGCCAAGGGTAGTGTGCTGGCCAAGTTCACTGTTGAGCAGGTCAGCCAAAATAATCTCTAGAAAAATGCCGCAAGAACCGTTGGTTTTAATTAATTTTTTTTTAAGAGCAACTTAATGGTCACAACTTGATGGTCACAAATTAATGGTCACAACTTAATGGTCACAACTTGATGGTCACAAATTAATGGTCACAACTCAATGGTCACAACTTAATGATCACAACTTAATGGTCACAACTTAATGGTCACAACTTAATGATCACAACTTAATGGTCACAACTTAATGATCACAACTTAATGGTCCCAAGTTAGTGGTCGCAGCTTGATGGTCACAACTTAATGGTCACAACTTAATGATCATTTTTTGGAGCTGTATTTAAACAAAAATTTAATTTGATATCCTGTTGTATTAATTTCAAGAGATGTACTGCGTCTCGAAGACATTGCGTTCTCCCTGGAATTCTAAGATTGCCGATCTCTTCAGTTTCTTCCCAAGCTAGATAATGACGGCCTTGACGTAGTCCCGGTAGCTGTTTACTACGCAAGGACGGCCGAACTGACGTATTTCCGGAACATATCGTTTGACTACGTCATACAGGAAGGGCTGCTGAAGAATGGCATTCCTCGATCAGTGTGCAGTCTGCCTTGTGGACCAGGTACAGAGTGAAGGTCATGTATGGCTGTATTTAATGAAATGTGTCAACTGTATGGCTGTATCTAATGAAATGCGCAACTGTATGGCTGTATCTAATGAAATGTGTCAACTGTATGTCTGTATCTAATGAAATGTGTCAACTGTATGGCTCTATCAAATGAAATGTGTCAACTATATGGCTGTATCTAATGAAATGTGTCAACTGTATGGCTGTATCTAATGAAATGTGTCAACTGTATGGCTGTATCTAATGAAATATCTCAACTGTGTGGCTGTATCTAATGAAATGTGTTAGCTGTATTAATGTATTTATTTGTAAGCTGTATGGCTGCATGTAATGAAATGTGTAACTTGTATGGCTACATCTATGTATAAGCCTTACGGCTGTATCTAATGAAATGTGTAAGCTGTATCGCTGTATTTTATGAAATGTGTAACGTGTATGCCTACATCTATGTGTAAACGTTATGACTGCATCTAATGCAATGTGTAACCTGTATGGCTACATCTATGTGTAAGCATTACGGCTGCATCTAGTGAAATGTGCACGCTGTATCGCTGGACCTCATGAAATGTGTAACCTGTATCGCTGGACCTCATGAAATGTGTACTCTATTCTCAGGTGAGTTCGTCATCAAGAAGGACCAGGTGTGCTGCTGGGAGTGCCGCCGATGCCGTAACAATGAAATTCTGGTCAGAGACAACACAGACTGCAACCCTTGTCCAGATTTCACGTGGCCGGACGTCAGGGTAAGACAGCATCCACTTCACGTTGGATTTGCCCCTGCGTGTCAAGCAAGGGGAGAAAAATACAGTCGTTAGATATTATGTCTTATGATTAACGTCACTTTGAACGCAGTTTCCATGGAAACTTGACATCAAGGTTGTGTACTTCTTGCTGAACAGGGATTTCTGGGAATTATTAACACGTAAAATCTTGAAATGAGTTGCCTTGACCCTGCAGGTATTATCTTGCCCTGCTTTTTTTTCCCAAACACACACTCCGCAATAATAGAGCAGACACAAAAACAACAAAATTATCAACAACAACAAAAACTACAACAAAACTAACAGCAACATATTTTACTCATGTCTCACAGAAGCTGGGAGGCTTTGTTGAACAACGCAGCGTTAAATGTGAAACGTGAATTAATTCATGACATGTCCCACACCTCCCCAGTCGAACTATACGTCATGTTACCCCATCGAGCCCGACTACCCCGAGATCGGTGACCCCCTGGTCGTTTTCTGCCTGACCCTGTCCGTCGCCGGCGTCGTGGGTGTCGCCATGGTCATCGTCGCTTACGCCAAGCACAGTGACGCGAAGGTCATCAAGGCGTCCAGTAAAGAGCTGAGCAGTCTTCAGCTGTTTGCTGTTTTAACGGGTAATATTCCCAGCTGTTCGCTGTTTTAACGGTTAATATTCCCAGCTGTTTGCTGTTTTAACGGGTAATATTCCTAGCAGTTTTAACGGATAATATTTCTAGCTGTTTTTTTAACGGTTAAGCTGTTTTGCTGTTTGTTTTTTAACGTTAAGGCTGTCTCGTTTTTTTTTTGTTTTAACTTGTAAGCTGTGGGATGGTGGTGGTTGGATGGTGGTTGTGAGATGGTGGATGTGGGAGGGTGGATGTGGGAGGGTGGATGTGGGATGGTGGTGGTGGGATGATGGTGGGATCTTGGTGGTGGGTTGGTGGTGGTGGGATGGTGGGGGTGGGATGGTGGGGGTGGGATGGTGGGGGTGGGATGGGGGTGGGGGTAGTGTGGTGATTGGGTGGGTGTGTAGGAGGGGTGTGTAGGTTTGGTTTCGAGGACGTATGTGTACAATGGGTGTGTAGGATGGGTGTGTAGGAGGGGTGGTGGGATGGTGGTGGTGGGATGGTGGTGGTGGGATGGTGGATGTGGGATGGTGGTGGTGGAGTGGTGGTGGGATCTTGGTGGTGGTTTGGTGGTTGTGGGATGGTGAGAGTGAGATGGTAGTGATGGGATGTGGTGGGATCGTGGTGGTGGGATAGTGGTGGTAGGAGTTTGGGGGTGGGATGGTGGTGGTGGGATCGTGGTGTTGGGATGGTGGTGGACATGAATTTTTCTCGTTGTCTGATGCCAGTCTCTAGCCCGTGTTACAAATAAATATGTGAGGAATTTTTTTATAATCATTCTTGGATTTATTTTTTTGGCGTGAGGGAAGTGGTTCAGGGTGGTTAAAAAAATCAACATCATCCAAATAGCCGGTTATTTATGAATGGACCCCTTATGCCGAGATTTGTTGAATTTTTTCTTACAAACCTTTCTACAATTTTTTTTTCTTTCAATTTCAAGTGCAATTTTGGCTTTCTAAAGCACAGTACATTAAAAAAAAAAATATTATCTTGTTGTTTCTTTAAACCATATTACTCTTTAATCAGTCTCTTACCTTTTCACTTGGCAGTGTCTATTTGTTGGCAGTGTCTCTTTGTTGGCAGTGTCTCTTTGTTGGCAGTGTCTCTTTGTTGGCAGTGTCTCTTTGTTGGCAGTGTCTCTTTGTTGGCAGTGTCTATTTGTTGGCAGTGTCTATTTGTTGGCAGTGTCTATTTCTTGGCAGTGTCTATTTGTTAGCCCTCTGACCATTCCACCATACATTCAGATTTTGTTTATACCTATTGGTGTCTTACAATCACAATACTCAAGCTGAAATACATTCTCGTCTGTCCCTAAGGCTACCTTACCATGCCAGCTCTCAAGCTCAAATAAATTTCTATCTGTCCTTAAGGCTACCTAAGTACGCAAGCTAATATATACTTCTTTCTGTCCCTAAGGCTACCTTACCATGTCAGTACTGAAGCTATAAAACATTTCTGTCTGTCCCTAAGGCTACCTTACCATGTCAGCTCTCAAGCTCAAATTAATTTCTATCTGTCCTTAAGGCTACCTAAGTACGCAATCTAATATATACTTCTTTCTGTCCTTAAGGCTACCTTACCATGTCAGTACTGAAGCTATAAAACATTTCTGTCTGTCCCTAAGGCTACCTTACCATGTCAGCTCTCAAGCTCAAATTAATTTCTATCTGTCCTTAAGGCTACCTTACCGTTTAAGTACGCAAGCTAATATATGCTTCTTTCTGTCCCTATGGCTACCTTACCATGCCAGTACTGAAGCTATAACACATTTCTGTCTGTCCCTAAGGCTACCTTACCATGCCAGTACTGAAGCTATAACACATTTCTGTCTGTCCCTAAGGCTACCTTACCATGCCAGTACTGAAGCTATAAAACATTTCTGTCTGTCCCTAAGGCTACCTTACCATGCCAGTACTGAAGCTATAACACATTTCTGTCTGTCCCTAAGGCTACCTTACCATGCCAGTACTGAAGCTATAATACACTTCTGTCTGTCCCTAAGGCTACCTTACCATGCCAGTACTGAAGCTATAATACATTTCTGTCTGTCCCTAAGGCTACCTTACCATGCCAGTACTCAATGTTAAACCTACGGATGGTGTTTGTGTAGCATCATACTTCATGTACTGTCTGAGCTTCACGTGGCTGTACGCTCCATTACTGGTAAAGGTAAATATCCAACCGTGTATTCATCCATATGTAATATATATCTGGTATGTATATATGGTATATATATCCATTTTTATATCCAGAGAACAAGTCATTTACCCTTATATAGATTTATACCTATGCATGCTACCTTTTATAATAATTAAAATACACAGTGAGATTAAATATATATATATTACTTTTATCAAATTCTTATGTTTTTTCTTTAAGCCATTAATCCATTTATCCATTAATACATCTTTTAAAATAAATGCTCTTCGTAACGTTAACTTACACTTGGTAATACGTTATCTATATACAGGGCCGGCGCTGGGGGATGGCGTAGTGGGCGACCGCCCAGGGCCCCTCGTTTGCGGGGCCCCCGCACGTTGCCGTAGTATATTGTGTTTGTCTTATTTTTGGCTTGTGTTCAGATGACAATGGCTCATTCAGCTACGTGTTTTCATTATTTTGTTTTTGACAACCTTGCATTTGTAACAATGGAGCCGCGATGAGTACTTTGGGCCAGGGCAATTAACTGTTATAGGAAGAAAAAAAAGAAATTTGGGAAACTAAGCGAGTGAATAAATATCCGTTATGACGCGTCCCATTATGACCAGCAAGGCCCCAGTACGACTATAACGTGTCTTAATATCCAGCAAGCCTCCAGTACGACTATAACGTGTCTTAATATCCAGCAAGCCTCCAGTACGACTATAACGTGTCTTAATATCCAGCAAGCCTCCAGTACGACTATAACGTGTCTTAATATCCAGCAAGCCTCCAGTACGACTATAACGTGTCTTAATATCCTATCGGTGGAATACATAACGGCAGCGGCACCGCAAAATTCAATTTGCCCAAGGCCCCGCACCCTCCTAGCGCCGGCCCTGCTATATATCTTGTCAATTGCATGATTACTTCCATCTATTGCCGATTACTTGCCTAACACCTGAACAATATTTACTTTCTCTTCCACACAAGACCATTCGTATCCATCGAATATTTCACAGTGGCAAAAAGTCCAAAGGGCGGGTCAAGCTCATCAGTCCCAGGTCGCAAATAGTCTTCTCAGCACTGCTCATTACTATTCAGGTATGCCTCGTAATAGTTCAGTTACACAACATCGTAGTTCAGGTACATAATATCCAAGCTCAGGTATATAACATCCTATCTCAGATATATAACATCATAGTTCCGGTATATAACATCATAGTTCAAGAATGTAACATCATTGTTCAGGTATGTAACATCATAGTTCAGGTATGTAACATCAAGAGTTCAGGTATGTAACATCATAGTTCAGGTATGAAACATCATAGTTCAGGCATGTAACATCATAGGTCAAGAATGTAACATCATAGTTCAGGTATGTAACATCATAGTTCAGGTATGTAACATCATAGTTCAGGTATGTAACATAATAGTTGAGCTATGTAGCATCATAGTTCAGGCCTGTAACATCATAGTTCAGGCCTGTAACATCATAGTTCAGGTATGTAACATCATAGTTCAGGTATGTAACATCATAGTTCAGCTATGTAAATCATAGTTCAAGAATGTAAAATCATAGTTCAGGCCTCTAACATCATAGTTCAGCTATGTAACATCATAGTTCAGCTATGTAACATCCTAGTTCAGGCCTGTAACATCATTGTTCAGGCACGTAACATCATAGTTATTAAGCTATGTAACATCATAGTTAAGCTATGTAACATCATAGTTCAGGTATGTAACATCATAGTTCAGCTATGTAACATTATATTTCAGCTATGTAACATCATAGTTCAGGTATGTAACATCATATTTCAGGTATGTAACATCATAGTTCAGGTATTTTTTATCATTGTTCAGTTATGTAACATCATAGTTCAGGTATGTAACATCATAGTTCAGGTATGTAACATCATATCTCGGATATTTAACATCCTAGCTCATGTGTGTAACATCATAGTTCATTTATGTAACATCATTGATCTGCCATCATAGTTCAGGTACACTACATCATATTTCAGATATATTTCAGGTATATAACATCATATTTCAGGCAAATAAAATCCTAGCCCATGTATATAACGTCCTAACTCATGTGTATAGAATCCTATCTCAGGTATATAGCATTCCAACACAGCTAACATCCTAGCTCAGGTATCAAGTATCCAACCTCATGTATACAAATCCTAGCTCATGTATACATCATCCCAGCTCATGCACATAACATCCTCGCTCGTGTATATAACATCCTAGCATATGTATATATCTATGTATATATCATCCTGTCTCAGGTACATAACATCCTATCTCAGCTATACAACATCCAAGCTCAGGTATACAACATTCCAGCTCATGTATATAACATCCTAGCTCCTGTATATAACATCCTAGCTCCTGCATATAACATCCTAGCTCCTGTATATAACATCCCAGCTCAGGTATATAACATCCTAGCTCATGTATATAACATCCCAGCTCAGGTATATAACATCCTAGCTCAGGTTTATAAAGTGCAATCTCAGCTATGCAACATCCTAGCTCATGTAATCTATAGTCTCCTAACTCAGGCATTTTGTTTTCATGTGCATAAACTCCAAGACAACACCACTGCAAAAGGGGTTGGGGGGGGTTAGCTAAAGGGTTGGACAAGAGTGTGACTCAGGGTTGGATTAGAAGGGGGCAAGGGTTGGGGTTGGCTTACTCAGCCCTGTCGAGTAAAAGTGGCGCCCGGGACGAATCCTGAATATGGCGCACACCTAGAAGAAAATTAATGTGCCGTACGTGGCGGGCCAGTAAAAAGACGAGTTAGCGCCCCTTGCCTTTGTCAAGTCCGTAGGCTACTTTCATTTCATTGACTATTAATTTCCTATCTAAAACATCCCCCCCCCCCCTTTTTTTCTGATGTTTACGCACGTGGCGAGTGCCCCTTTCCCCTTACGCAAGGTCCTGATGGCGAGCACCAGGGGTTATCCCCCCCCCCCTTTTTTCCAAGAATAGCATAGATAAAATTGACCAATAAATGAAATGCTACAACACGCAATGATATTGACAATGAAAACTCTTTATCTGATTAACATACACTTAAATAACTTAATTTTAGTTGCTCTCCCCCTTTAGACAATCCCCATGTCCGCCCCTGCCAGGAGATTTTATGTAACAAATATACTTGTAAGAAGTCTTCACATGTTACATTTCTTGTTAAACGTGAACATTTGGAGGGGTGGGGAGGGGGGTTGGGGGTTACAAACCACGTGTCTGACCTTTAACATTTCCTTTTTGTTTCAGTTTATTTTATGCATCGCTATGACCTTCTTGTACAAACCGTCCGCGTCCTTGACCCAGGTGGTTAAAACAGGTATCTATGGCCACCGTTGTAACATACTTTCATATGTGAACACATAATTTCTGTCCGTTGCTAAAACATGTATCTGTTGTCAAAGTTGTAACATACTTTCATATGTGAACACATAATTTCTGTCCGTTGTTAAAACATGTATCTGTTGCCAAAGTTGTAACATACTTTCATATGTGAACACATAATTTCTGTCCGTTGCTAAAACATGTCTCTGTTGCCAAAGTTGTAACATACTTTCATATGTGAACACATAATTTCTGTCCGTTGCTAAAACATGTATCTGTTGCCAAAGTTGTAACATACTTTCATATGTGAACACATAATTTCTGTCCGTTGTTAAAACATGTATCTGTTGTCAAAGTTGTAACATGCTTTCATATGTGAACACATAATTTCTGTCCGTTGTTAAAACATGTATCTGTTGTCAAAGTTATAACATACTTTCATATGTGAACACATAATTTCTGTCCGTTGTTAAAACATGTATCTGTTGTCAAAGTTGTAACATACTTTCATATGTGAACACATAATTTCTGTCCGTTGTTAAAACATGTATCTGTTGTCAAAGTTGTAACATACTTTCATATGTGAACACATAATTTCTGTCCGTTGTTAAAACATGTATCTGTTGCCACTGTTGTAACATACTTTCATATGTGAACACATAATTTCTGTCCGTTGTGCAAACAGATATCCCTGGCCACTGGTGTAGCCTCTTTCCATAATAAATGAACCGCATGTTGCAGGTGCACTTCTACTTGCATCTCAAAGAGAGGTGACCCCCCTCCCCCCCCCTCCCCGGGGCGCATCCATGCTTAGGGACGATGTAATGTGAAATAGTGGTTTTTTTTTTTTTTTTTGGTCAATTGGGAGGTCAGTGGGGTGGGGTGGGGTGAGGGTGGGGTGGGGGTGGGGTGGGGTGGGGGTGGGGGGTGGTGCCTTGTTAAAAAAACACTCCTCTCAAATGTGTTACTGTTCTTCCAAGTTTTAAAAAACGCGGGGGAAAAAAAGAAAAGAATCTGACATTCTACAGACATCTCCCTCTCCAAATCCAGCATTCACATCCAATATTTATTTACCACAAGTTACGGCATTTGAATATGGCTATGGTGTTCGGCATTTGAATATCACTCTGGTGTTCGGCATTTGAATATGGCTAAGGTGTTCGGCATTTGAATATGGCTATGGTTTTCGGCATTTGAATATGGCTCTGGTGTTCGGCATTTGAATATGGCTATGGTGTGTAGCATTTGATTATGGCAGTGGTGTTCAGAATTTGAATATGGCTATAGTTTTAAGCATTTGGATATGGCTATGGGGTTTACAACTAAACGCCATTTCAAAACAGGTAACACGGTTGCTCCCGCCCCCAAACACACACACAAACGCAAGCAGGCACACATACCTTTTTTTAGATTGTTGTACCTTGTATATTTTAACGTTATGCATTTACTGATACGTTGCTTAAATTTCAGTCCCAAACCTGGCTTTTTAAAATACATTTCTGGACTATTTCACTAAGACTCATTTACACTATATGATTCCATGGGACTATTTTATGTATATTCTTTTACTGTTCTCCCAAGTGTATATATATATATATATATATATATAAATATCTATTTATAAATATATATATATATATATATATATATATATATATATATATATATATATATATATATATATATATATATATATATATATATATATATATATATATACATATATATATATATATATATATATATATATATATATATATATATATATATGTATATAAATATAATTTCTCTCCCCCCCCCTCAGAAAATGATGTTGAGTTAAGCTGTAACTGGACACTGCCCGGGCTGACCTCCTTCCTGGCCTACAACCTGGTCCTCGTGGTTCTGTGTTCTGTGTTCGCTTTCAAAACCCGGAAGTTGCCAGATAATTTCAACGAGTCCAGATTTATCAGCCTGTGTGTGTACACCACGTTAATAATTTGGCTGGCTTTCATACCGACATACTTCACGGCAGGGCGACAGGTAGGCCTAGTGATCCGACAGTTAGTTATAGCGGTCCGAAAAATTTAGTCTAAACAGAGGCAGAGATTGATAGGTTGTCAGCAAACTACGGATTCTGAACTTTAAAAAAAAACTTCTTCAACTCATTGCCCTGATTTTAACTCGTTTTTTCTGTTACTTGATTAGTCCATTTGATTTTTACTTGTTTCCTGATATTTGACTTGTTCGCTGCTATTTGACTTGTTTCTTGCTATTTGAATTCGGCGCTGCTATTTGACTTGTGCGCAGCTATTTGACTTGTTCCATGCTATTTGACCTGTTTCATGCTATTTGACCTGTTCCCTGCTATTTGACTTGTTCCATGCTATTTGACCTGTTTCATGCTATTTAACCTGTTCCCTGCTATTTGACTTGTGCGCTGCTTATTTGACTTGTTCCCTGCTATTTGACTTGTGCGCTGCTATTTGACTTGTGCGCTGCTATTTGACTTGTTCCATGCTATTTGACCTGTTTCCTGCTATTTGACCTGTTTCCTGCTATTTGACATGTTCCCTGCTATTCGACGTCTTCTCAGTTATTTGACTTGTTCCCTGCTATTTGACTTGTTTGCCAATGAACTGAGTCCTTTTAACCAGGGATTTTGTTAGCATTCAGTGTATTTTTTAACATTATTTTTTTAAAAAGTGTAAACAATTCTAACTTTGGCGATACTTTAAACGTTGCAATTTCAATTTTTTTGTTGCTATTAACAAAATTGCTTTTTGTTTAAATAATTTTTTCTTGAAAAGGTAACTTGACTGACAAAATTATTTAAACAAAAAGCAATTCCCCCTATTAAAGGGGTATAATAACATATATAATTATTTAATTATATCCATTTCTCAGTTGCCTCCCCTTTTACTTTCCGCAGTATCTCAAGACCCTATTGCTGTCCCTCTCCCTTCTGGTCAACCACACAGTGGCTCTCGTGTTCCTCTACGTCCCCAAGATCTACGCCGCTGTCAATCTCATCCCCACAACCTCCAATGTCGTGGGCGAATCCATAAACACCACAAGTAGACTGGACACGATCGCCACTACAGCCAGCTCGAGTCGCGTTCAGTCTGCCAATGTCTACCCCAGCGGTGACGCCCCTGCTTGTGATACGGCGATTTTCGGACCTCCCAGCGGCGTACGCGTACCAGCATCAGGGAGGACCCTATTAACGGGGTCAAGTGTAAACCTGAATCTAGAGACTGATAGGTCACAGGAAGGCAGGCATTCATCGGCGTGATTGTCGACCTCTCAGATGGTGGGAAACATTCATTTGTGAGACATGGGCGAGACTGTGATAATCGGTAGGGTTATTTGCTATAGGTGAAAGTACCTGCCAACCATTGGGTTGTTAGGTAGAGTGATTTGTTATAGATGGAAGTGCCTGCCAACCATTGGGTTGTTAGGTAGAGTGATTTGTTATAGGTGGAAGTGCCTGCCAACCATTGGGTTGTTAGGTAGAGTGATTTGTTATAGGTGGAAGTGTGCCTGCCAACCATTGGGTTGTTACAAACGTTTTACTGGTAAAAAAATGTTTTTGAGCAAGAGATTTCACAACTCTCTGTTAAGGACTCCAGTATTCAAACCAAAACCATGACTCTGGCAATGGTTCCGGCTTTTCATTTCGGCACTGACTCAAACTGTGACACCAGCACTGATTCCTGTTTTGACTCCAGCTATAATTCTGGCGTTGACACAGAATCGACTCCGGCTATTACTCCGATTTTGACTCCACGTATAACTCTTGCATTAGACCAGCATTGACTCCGTCTATGACTCATGGTAAACAACTGACTTTTGACTCATTGAAATTGGACGTGCGGGTTTTCTTTGCACATTGTATGCATGAAATAAAATGGACTTTTCGTCGTCATGCATAACAAAGTGTGGATATCCCACAGTGGCGTCCCCAAAAAGGTTTTTTTTTTTGGGGGGGGGGGGGGGATGGCTGTCACAAGCGAGATCAGATTCTCCAGGCGTGTCATCAGTCAAATGATGCAAGCGCCCGCATTTGTCAGCTTTGTTATGTAAATAAATAAAATGAAGATGTATTTCTGGGAAACAACTTTGTGATTCTGTTTTCATCCAATTTACCCTGGTGTCATCGAGGTATTTGTCAGCCACTGCCTATGACGGTGTTTGTCAGTAAGCAATTGTGATGGTGTTTGTCAGTAACCACTTGTGATGGTGTTTGTCAGTAACCACTTGTGATGGTGTTTGTCAGTAACCACTTGTGATGGTGTTTGTCAGTAACCACTTGTGATGGTGTTTGTCAGTAACCACTGGTGATGGTGTTTGTCAGTAACCGCTTGTGATGGTGTTTGTCAGTAACCACTGGTGATGGTGTTTGTCAGTAACCACTGGTGATGGTGTTTGTCAGTAACCGCTTGTGATGGTGTTTGTCAGTAACCACTGGTGATGGTGTTTGTCAGTACCCACTGGTGATGGTGTTTGTCAGTAACCACTGGTGATGGTGTTTGTCTGTAACCGCTGTTAACATAGGCGCCCACAGAAATTTCCTCAGTGGGCGAGTCAGCAAACGTCTGACATTGTTTTTCATTATATAAACATATAATAGGGTTAGTCCCTTCATGGCGGAGATGTATTTATAGAACTGGTGTAAATATCCGGGTACTCGGGTCGGACAAAAGTCAACACCTTTCATTACTATTATGTTAGCGAAGTGGACCTTAACCTTAATCAGAACTTGGTTATAACTATATTTTACGAAATATTTTACACATTTTTTTCCACTGCTATTGCTATCTTCAAAGCTATACATTTTGTGAAATGAGATGTCATTGGGGGTACAGCACGTGTGACAGTGACTCTATATTCTGCTTTCTATTTTGAACATTTTGATCGAACAGGGCGCATAAATAAACAGCGCTCCTTCTCCTCCGAACCCCCGCCCTTATTCCGCACTCTTGAACTTTCTCCGCACCCCACCTTTTCCTCTGTGTACCTCTTCTCACCTCACCCTTTATAGGCCCTATCCCTTTCTCAGCCTGTTTCCTCAGCCCAGCGACAGTGCATTTTAACCACCTCTTTAGTTGCAAAGTGAGTGGGCAGAAATGTCTATCGTTGAGAAAACAGGACCTGTCATGGCGTTTTCAGTCAGAATGATATTATGCTGATACACACCATTGGCTGCCATGTTTTACGAAATGCTTGTCCGACGTTCTCAAAATAGTAACATTACGTAGTACGCTATGACGCTTTCCGGTCTGAGAAGTGACAAGCCATTAGCTGCCATATCAAGATAAGTCCGAGGTTCTAAAAATGTTATAAAGGGACTCTAAATACGGTTTGAATTCAGAGTATCCTTCCCTTTGATGTGTTGCCATCCAAGGTTAACAAGTCCCATCCACCCAAGTTGCTGGAGATGGTTTTTGCTTGACTGTGGTTTGGTGGAGATTGAACTCCAGACCACGAACTTGAGATTGACTCAGTTTTGACAAATCGGCCACCCAGCACCAAGAATCCAAGTACGGATTCCAAGTCAAACGTAGTCACCTTCGGAGTCGGGATGTTGACCCTTGCCATTTGAGTTTAAAAGATTGCTTCGATATATTCAAGAGCCACGTCCACTGATATGAGAACTCTTTATCGCATTATGTTAACTAAAGCTGCAAGGGCCAAGAATTTTTCATAAATATTTTTCTTAAAATTAGTTTCAACATTCTGTTCACGGAAAATTTCCATTAATTCAATTACCAAATCCAGCTGTTTTCACTAATGATTGTTTTGCTGGTTCCAGTGTGAAGAGATAATCACAAGGCAAACGAGAAATGTAGGTGAAGAACGTGAACATCTAGTCGCGTTTTACCAGTGTCATCTGTTGCGAGACTGTGCAATGGCTTTCATATCACTTCGAGATTCTCAATGAAAAATGCGAATGTTTTTTTTTCCCTTTTGTGGACCACTGAGTTTCGCAGAAATAGAACGTAATGACCTTCGCCTTATGCTTTCTCTAAAAAACTTGATGATGACTTTGATTGTATCAAAGGCGTTATGCACTTGAACAACTGAATTCTCAGGTCTATCCTTACAGAAATTGTAAAAAGCTATTGGTCGGTATGGGTTTGTGAGTAAACAACATTTTAAAAAATCTGACACTGGAGATGTTTACTGAATACATCACTCCTAATCAAAATCATCGATTGCCATTTCACAGCCAACACTATTATGTGTTGATATTTCAGTATCAAATCTGAGTGATGCCGACAGTAATGAATTGAAGCTCACAGAACCACTGGCACCAGTGAAATATCAAGTCATGACTTGTAGCTTGTTCTTCAACCGGTTGGTTGTCTCTTGTCAAGTCTTTGATGTGGAAACATGTGTTGGGTTACAACATGTCTTACACTTATCATCATCAGCATCAAATGATTTCTTTTGTTATTTAGCCGGCTCCTCAGAGCACATGACTCCTAAACGTGCTACTGAGTGCGTGCAGGTCTGTCCTTGTTATCCATATAGACTTTAATGGGGTTCATAAATCGTACAGTCTATCCTCAGGTTTATCTTCGACTACGTCGAACGAGCCATAGAGTTGATTAGGAAAAGTTTAAACCACTGGCACTGTTTTATATTTACATGTTTGATGACAAACAGCCCATGTATATGTTTATAAGTGACAGCGTTCCTGCTAAGTACTTGCATGTTATAAGCATCTGAATAAAAATTACCATATCCATATCAAATCTGATGTTTTTAAATCTTTATTTGGTGTACGTTGGAAGTGGGTTGGTCTCATCCGGTGGGTATAGTCCAAACCCTAGATTTTAACAGGAAAAGTAGGGGCTTGTCTTATACGCGCAGTCGTCTTGTACGCCGGAAAATACGGTAATTTGTAGTGCAATAGACTTTGTCTGATGTAATCTGTAATACCATAGACTTTGTCTGATGTAATCTGTAGTATCATAGACTTTGTTTTGTGTAAGCTGTAGTACCATAGACTTTGTCTGATGTAAATTTATCAAGCACTCTTGACAGCACTATGAAGTCTTTACAACACTTATTTGCTAGTAAAAGTTCAGCCCCGACTCTCACAATAGAGTCTAGACGTCTGAACGGCATTCTGTCTCTTCGCTTAGTTTTCACAGAAGATACAAGAGAGACTATTCTCCCAACTACTGCATTACTAACTGGAGATGTTAGACATGAAAGAGCGGAGCTGGCGAGTTCGTTAAAACACTCACGCCCGAGCCCACCAATCCAAAACTCTTCACTCTACCCATGGGGAGCCCACCAATCCAAAACTGTTCCCTCTACCCATGGGGAGCCCACCAATCCAAAACTGTTCACTCTACCCATGGGGAGCCCACCAATCCAAAACTGTTCACTCTACCCATGGGGAGCCCACCAATCCAAAACTGTTCACTCTACCCATGGGGAGCCCACCAATCCAAAACTGTTCACTCTACCCATGGGGAGCCCACCAATCCAAAACTGTTCACTCTACCCATGGGGAGCCCACCAATCCAAAACTGTTCACTCTACCCATGGGGAGCCCACCAATCCAAAACTGTTCACTCTACCCATGGGGAGCCCACCAATCCAAAACTGTTCACTCTACCCTTGGGGAGCCCATAAAACTGTTCCCTCTACCCATGGGGAGCTCATAAAACTGTTCACTCTACCCATGGGGAGCCCATAAAACTGTTCACTCAACCCATGGGGAGCCCATAAAACTGTTCACTCTACCCATGGGGAGCCCATAAAACTGTTCACTCTACCCATGGGGAGCCCATAAAACTGTTCACTCTACCCATGGGGAGCCCATATTTCTTAAATGTCACTTCATCTTTCAAATCAACATATAGTAATTTTCGATATTGATCTCCAATAAATTTGTTGTTTTCCTCGGCGAGATGTAGAAAACGTAATTCCAAAGTAGATGGCAAATGAAACTCGGTTTAATACAGTACAAGCATCAATTACTCGCTCTGACGCACAATATCTCGCTCTGACGCACAATATCTCGCTCTGACGCACAATATCTCGCTCTGACGCACAATATCTCGCTCTGACGCACAATATCTCGCTCTGACGCACAATATCTCGCTATGACGCACAAGGTTCAGCCATTTTCTTGCCGTCTCAGCACCTTTTTTTTTAATCTCGTAAAAACACCCGTATTCTATTTTTAGATGTTCTAAATACCGAGACGTTGCAAACTCAAAAACACAACAATAAAAAAAGGGGGGGGGGGGGCAACAATAAAAAGTGGAGGGGGATAAACATACACTATATTTTGTACAGCCATCGATGAAAACAAGTGATCAAGACTGCAACACACTTCCTATTAAACAGAGAAGTACCGGTTGTATGTGGTCCATCTAGTCTATGAGAGATTATATCAAACTATTTCAACTCAGTATACTTAAACATATTCCTAAATTTACTTTAACACTTGTTAAGTTGCAATAATTTTTAATTTTTTAAAATATTTTTGTCAAGGAAACGACCGGTGGTAAAATGGCCAGAGAGTGAAACGTCCCGAGGTGAAACGGAGTCGCTGAAGTGGCGTAAACGAAATCGAGACTACGAGTGTTCGCATCTCCTGAAATTCTATGTCACACGAGACTCAGAGAATGCCTATATAGAGACAGTGCTTTAAAATAAGAGGGGTTTGGTCGGGACTGTCAATATGATCGCGGTGGGGAGAGGGGGATAGAGGAAGCGAAGGTTCCCTGAAGAAAATGGTTGAACAATTAAACATGTATCGATGCATTTTGGCGCTTAACTCAATTTAGCTTTTTTTAAAACATTCTACACTTAATGGAAGTCCAAACAAAAGAGATGTTGATGGAAACTTAGCTTTCGTGTTTTCTTATTTGTTCAAAGTAATCTGCTGCTTGTATTCAGAAGTATTGTGAGATCCAGTAACAGAAACATTGCAAATCCCATCTACATGCATAGGAGCCAAAATGATCAATAAATTGATCGTGGGCCCTTAAGATATAGAAGAAGAAGAAGATATTCAAATTAAATTCTTTATAAATATATATATAACCGTTTTTTTTTAACTAGTAGAAATAATACTGGTGTTGTCAACAACAACAAAAAACTAACCAAAACGAAACAAAAAAACGAGAATTAAATTATTTAAGTCTATTTGTTTTTTTTTTTAACAATTTGTGTAATGATCAAGTAAAACTTTTGATAGATTTTAAATTAATGTCATAAGTCTAGATACAACAATGCTAAGCTTAACAGAAACGATCCAAATCATGACAGCTGCTGTAATATAATAGCACTAAATACAAAAAAAAAAACAATAATGACAGATACGATATTAGCAAAGCATACAACAATGCGAAACATATTCTTTCATTGTTGTTGTTCGTCCGTCCGTCGAAATCGACTCGGACCATCGAGTTATCCGGTTAGGTGGGAGGGTGGGTTGCGGTGAGCTCGTAAGTGGCTGGCCAGTCCCATCCGTGCTCGGAATACTCTCTGGCACCTCGGGCAGGGGATATTTTGCTGAAGACGGTGGCCCTAATGTTGCTCTTTCGTGCCAGCCTGCGTGTCTCAGCTGTGGTTATCTTATTAACTTCATGGTATGGAGGCCCTTTCTTGACATCTGCTCTCCCCCTGGCTCTGTCCTGGGCTGTCTGCACCCATTGAGTAGGGTTGATGCTGCACTATATGCAAGCTAGTCATGACACATTCTATCATAATTCTACATTAAAAAAATAATATTATAACAGATGCTCTCATATAACACTGCAAACAACAAGAGTAACAATGGAAGATTATATCATAACACTACATACAACGACTCGAATCATGAAATATACCATCATAATAAAAATACAAGAATTATTATGACTTTATAATCGTATCACTACATACAGTACCGATCATGACAGATAATTTTAAAGCACTACTTTGAGACGTTTCGCACGTTCCATATACGATATCACAAATTGCCAATTTAGGCTTTAGTCAAAATAACTTCCGCACCTATTGAACAGTCAATACAACGGTGCGGACACTTATCTAACCTTTGTCATTCTCTAGAGCCACTGTCTGTGTCGATGATTGTTTTATTCTGCTTAAAGGATTGATCGATGTTTTCTTAAGAGCTAAGATTATGAAACACTTCTATGTATTTTGTTTGAATGTATTTAGTAAGCACGTCAATAGCTTTTTTGTTTGTTTAAAGGAGATATTCTTGTTAGTTTATATTTGTCTAAATTAAAGCTGTACTGCTCCCCGAAGTGTGCATGGGGGGTGGGGGGGGATTAAAGGACATGTCTGAAAAGAAGGACTGGATGACATCCGTTGACTTAGAGTTGTTTGATGGTAGTTATCAGTGGAATGTACAACAGACTGCTTGCTGACAATGACTAGGAAAGCAGTTCGCAACTAATCGTCAGACAACACTGGGTAAAAAAGGACAATCTCTTGAAAGACAGTTCATCAGTTCGTCTGCAGACATTGGCTTGAGGACAGTTCATCAGTCTGTCTGCAGACAGTTGCTTATCTTAACTTATAACTTATAAGTTAACTTTAAAGAAGTAAACACAGAAAATTATATCGCGATTTAAACCCCACCCAAACCCCACCCAAACCCCACCCAAACCCCTCCCCCCCCCACTGTATATCTAACTCATGTCATTATCAATTTGCAGACATTGGATTGAGGACAGTTCATCAGTCTGTCTGCAGAGAGTTGCTTATCTTAACTTATAACTTATTAGTTAACTTTAAAGAAGTAAACACAGAAAATTATATCGCGATTTAAACCCCACCCAAACCCCACCCAAACCCCACCCAAACCCCTCCCCCCCCCACTGTATATCTAACTCATGTCATTATCAATGTATCAGTAGTCTTAGGTGGTCAAAGCGTTGTGGACAAGACTACAGTCGTGGAAGGCCAGACGTTCACCATTACATGCGATTACCTCCATGTCAACGGAATCGTTCCCAACTGCAGCGTTGCTTTCTTAGAGGTGTTTAAAAATTTTAGTAATGGAATCCCACAAATAATCATTACACTGGATAATGGGAAATATAATAATGTAAGACCATATTGTAACTTAATTCTTGCGATCAGTCTAATTACTACTAGTCATTGTTCTCTTGCAGCGACCCAGTAAATAGATCATGAGAAGAAATATGTGAACAACGAAACAAATCGTGGTTTAAATAGCAGCCATATTTTATAAAGTGCCAACACATCACCCTCCTAACAAAGCTTCACACAGACTTGACAGTGTAAGTGTAAGAGATAGCACACCCAACAAAACCTCACGCACATATTTCACCGCGCAAAGAACTACACTCACTTCACTATGCAATACATTACACACATTTAGCTATGCAATACATTACACACCTTTAATTATGCAATACATTACACACATTTAACTATGCAATACATTACACACATTTTACTATGCAATGCATTACATACCTTTAACTATGCAATACACTACACACCTTTAACTATGCAATACATTACACACCTTTAACTATGCAATACATTACACACATTTAACTGTGCAATACATTGCACGCATTTAACTGTGCAATGCATTGCACGCATTTAACTGTGCAATGCATTGCACGCATTTAACTGTGCAATGCATTGCACGCATTTAACTGTGCAATGCATTGCACACATTTAACTGTGCAATGCATTGCACGCATTTAACTGTGCAATGCATTGCACGCATTTAGCTGTGCAATACATTGCACGCATTTAACTATGCAATACATTACACACAATTCACTGTGGCATACATCAAACACATTTCACTGTGCAATAAATAACAAAAATTTCACTGATCAAAGTATTAAAAACATTTTACTGTGCAATACGCTACGCACATTGCGATGTGCAATACATCACTTACATTTCACTGTGCAATTAATCGCACACATTTCCCTGTGCAGTTAATCACACGTATTTCACTGCGCAATAAATCACAGACATTTAACTGTGTAATACATCACAAATATTTCACAGTGTAATACATCACACATGTAACAAAACATCAATGTACCAGGTAATATTTCTATATTTTTCAGATGAACATTCCCAGTCATTGGACGAAAGATTGCACAAACCCAAAGAATTCTTACGATGTCACCCAGTTTCGTTGCAAACTAATCGTGAACGATGCACGGATCTCGGACAGTGGTCATTATGGATGTAGCATTGCTCTTTTTTGCACTGATGGTCAATCTACTAGATTTGAGGGCCACTCCGATGTTGTTGTCGCGAAAGGTAAAGTAAGAAAAGACCATCTTTTTTAAAGTCCGTTTTTTTAGATTTGAATCTGATTGAATCTGATTGAATTTGATTGGATCTGATTGAATCTTATTGAATCTGATTGAATCCGATTGAATCTGATTGAATTTGATTGAATTTGATTGAATTTGATTGAATTTGATTGAATTTTATTGAATTTGATTGAATTTGATTGAATTTGATTGAATTTGATTGAATTTGATTGAATTTGATTGAATTTTGTGTACGTGACGTGTTTAGGCCTCTTTGTTCTGGGACGAAGTCTAGCATGGGGAAATGCTAATAAAACAGATGAGGACCTTCCAAATGCTAGTTCATCGGGACATTTACCCTAAAAAATTGAAGACTTGTAACTGTCGAATGAGATGTTACAAAAAAAAACTCCTCTTAAAGAAACACAAAATGCTGCCAATCAAACTTGTAATTAACGAATATTCGTACTGCATTAGAATGAGTTGGGAATATATGTTGTCTTTTTTAGCACAAACGACTTGTGCTACTTATAAGAAGGATCCTGTAGTGCCAGATACGACTTCAGATTTCACAAAAGAACTTTGAATGTTGCCTTACTTCTCTCTTTTGTTTGACTCTTATTTTTACAAGGAGTTCGTTGTGTGCATCCTCACATTTCACCTCTGTACACCAACCATGACGGTCATAGGCGATTCTCTTCCATTCACTATGAAATATTGACTTTAGAATTAGATGATACGTTATAAATAAATAGTGTATGACTATATGCAAAAATAATTTTTAATTTAAAGAGGAATAAAAGTTATTTGTTAATTTCAGAAAACACTACAAAGTCAGAAGCGTCCATCAACTTCGGCGAGGGGATCACCACTGGATTGTGTCTCATGATGATAACTGCAGCTGAGCTATAATATCACGTTTCATTGTGTCTCATGAAGATGGCTGCAGCTGAGCTATAATGTCAAGTTGGATTGTGTCTCATGAAGATGGCTGCAGCTGAGCTATAATGTCAAGTTGGATTGTGTCTCATGAGATGGCTGCAGTTGAGCTATAATGGCACGTCCATCTTCTTAGTGGCTGAACAAATATTATTTCATTTGGAAGCTTCTAAATTCCACGTGATTTAACATCGTTGTTTCATTCAAATGGAATCGTGATTTTATTGGCAAATAACTCTTCACTGATCTCAATCTTCATTTAAACAACAACTGTAACATTAGTAACAATAAATAAAGAATGCATTAAAAACTTAAATAAAGATTTATTTATTTACAGCAAGTGAAAGATTCCACATACTTATTATGTCTCTGATTGATTCTGTATATTGTTCCTCATAGATAATTTTTTACTATATTTCATTATTTGTCGATATCACATAAAAATATTTAAGACATTGATATGTTTCATTCTGTATACAACAAAATGCTTTCAAAAGACTGTGTACAGTAGTTTCATAAATGCACTGAAACTTTCCCCCAGAAGTGTCCTATCGTCCAGTTAAGCTCCATATTTGGAAAAGACGTTGATAATTTTTGGTCTCGACAAAATTCTTACAAATCTTAAAATACTTATACATGTGGCATTACAAGTAATATAAAAAAATTCTGGGTTGAATTATCAGATTAGAACGAAGCCTAAGACAATGAGAATCACTTTCTTGAATCTTATATAACCTAAAATGAGACTCACTTTCTTGAATCTTATATAACATAAAATGAGACTCACTTTCTTGAATCTTATATAACCTAAAATGAGACTCACTTTCTTGAATCTTATATAACCTAAAATGAGACTCACTTTCTTGAATCTTATATAACATAAAATGAGAATCACTTTCTTGAATCTTATATAACCTAAAATGAGAATCACTTTCTTAAATCTTATATAACCTAAAATGAGAATCACTTTCTTGAATCTTATATAACCTAAAATGAGAATCACTTTCTTGAATCTTATATAACATAAAATGAGAATCACTTTCTTGAATCTTATATAACCTAAAATGAGAATCACTTTCTTAAATCTTATATAACCTAAAATGAGAATCACTTTCTTGAATCTTATATAACCTAAAATGAGAATCACTTTCTTGAATCTTATATAACCTAAAATGAGACTCACTTTCTTGAATCTTATATAACCTAAAATGAGACTCACTTTCTTGAATCTTATATAACATAAAATGAGACTCACTTTCTTGAATCTTATATAACATAAAATGAGACTCACTTTCTTGAATCTTATATAACCTAAAATGAGACTCACTTTCTTGAATCTTATATAACATAAAATGAGAATCACTTTCTTGAATCTTATATAACCTAAAATGAGAATCACTTTCTTAAATCTTATATAACCTAAAATGAGAATCACTTTCTTGAATCTTATATAACCTAAAATGAGAATCACTTTCTTTAATCTTATATAACCTAAAATGAGAATCACTTTCTTGAATCTTATATAACCTAAAATGAGACTCACTTTCTTGAATCTTATATAACATAAAATGAGAATCACTTTCTTGAATCTTATATAACATAAAATGAGAATCACTTTCTTGAATCTTATATAACCTAAAATGAGACTCACTTTCTTGAATCTTATATAACCTAAAATAAGACTCACTTTCTTGAATCTTATATAACATAAAATGAGAATCACTTTCTTGAATCTTATATAACATAAAATGAGAATCATTTTCTTGAATCTTATATAACCTAAAATGAGACTCACTTTCTTGAATCTTATATAACCTAAAATAAGACTCACTTTCTTGAATCTTATATAACATAAAATGAGAATCCCTTTCTTGAATCTTATATAACCTAAAATGAGAATCACTTTCTTGAATCTTATATAACCTAAAATGAGACTCACTTTCTTGAATCTTATATAACCTAAAATAAGACTCACTTTCTTGAATCTTATATAACCTAAAATGAGACTCACTTTCTTGAATCTTATATAACCTAAAACGAGAATCACTTTCTTGAATCTTATATAACCTAAAATGAGACTCACTTTCTTGAATCTTATATAACCTAAAATGAGACTCACTTGGTTGAATCTTATATAACCTAAAATGAGACTCACTTTCTTGAATCTTATATCACCTAAAATGAGACTCATTTTCTTGAATGTAATATATAACCTAAAATGAGACTCACTTTCTTGTTTGAGGATTTAGTTTGAGGATACAGTGGCAGAGGTTTAGTTAACCTCGAAGGGGCAAGGGTTATCAATGGAAGGTGTAGTGGCATACATTTAGTTTGAGGGTTTGGTGTGGTAGTAGAGACTCCACTTTGGAGGGTGTGATGGCAGAGATGTAGTTGCAGAGTCTGGTGCTTGTGGTGGGGGCTTGTGCCAGTGGTTCGTTTGAAAGGTTTGGGTAGTGTTCGATTAATTAAAATATTGGTCGTGTTGGTGAGCCAAATCCGGCATAGGGTAGTTGAGTTCCGGTTGCATGTCCATTTCAAAGAGGGAAGGGTTTTCTGCGTCACGTTCCGGAGGGGAAACATCATCACGACGTTCATCATCGGTGGTGGCTTCCTTTCGGGGACAACATCTCTCGTGTACACTGAAAAGGAGATAAAAAAAGACAACACTTCAAAGCTTTAATGAGTTTGTCTTCTTTTTAAAAACGTTCCAAACTCGAGCTACATAATTATAAAAAAAATGTATTTTGAATTTCCTCACTTCTCATCACTTATTTAAAGAGCGGTCAATATGTATTGCCATTGGTAATTTGATGTGAGTGAAATAATAATTTTACATTAAATAACTAACAAACTTGAGCTCTTGTAACACAATTAGTTGAACAGTACATTTTTTCAAAGTTTGAACTTACTTTTGGAGACTTGTGTGAAAGCCTAAAGGAAAAATTGAGGGATTTTTTTTTTTTTTACGTTACCATCAAAACGTGACAAAATCAAATTTTATTGACTTAAAAACTCGTTATTTTGGTGACAGTCAGGCGTTCTATTATTATGGAGTAAACCTTGGCAATCATCCCTGGTGGTAACTTATATCTTGACAATCACTCCCGTCTACAACCCATGCTTACTCAATCATGTTTAACCCCAATCTTCCCAATCATGCCTGACCCCACCTATTCTAGATACAGAAACAAATTCCACAGAAATTATGTTTTCACTGCAACAGATCCAGTATAAGAACTACGATGACAAACTGCCTCTATATATAATCAATAGCACCTATAATTTCCACTGAAATCCCAAACAAACTTCAACATATCCAGTATGGAACTAAGGTGACAAAGTGCGTCTATTTGTTATCCAATATCACTTTCTAAAGCTTTGTTTTAAACTCGTCAAAATGTGACTGATCCAAACTGCATCGCCCACCTAGTACCAAACTTAACGTCAGACTCCCATTAAGACCTTAAGTAGGTGTTGACTGCATGACAATTCTCACATCACATGATGATGTGACCATAACTATGTCTTTGTTTTTCCTCTTACTATTTGATCAAGAACATACGTTGACAAAGGAAATGCTTGCATGCGCAGTTCATACATTGAACAATGAAATGTCTGCATACGTAGTGCATATGTTGACCAATGAAATGCTTGCATACTCAGTGAATACGTTGACATATGAAATGACTGCATACGTAGTGCATACGTTGACCAATGAAATGCTTGCGTACGTAGTGCATACGTTGACCAATGAAATGCTTGCATGTGTAGAGCATACGTTGAACAATGAAATGTTTGCATACGCTGTACATACGTTAACCAATAAAATGCTTGTTTTAATTTGACATCGGTTCTCTGGTGACAGTTCTGACGTGACAGGGCGTGAAAGCGCTGTCCCCCTCATCACGTGATCGCGTTTACAGCTTGCATAAAAAATGCATGCAATCACATTAATCATGATAGATACTATATTAGCAATACATACAACGATACGAAAGGTGGCATAATATTCTTTGATTTCTCTACATGCATGCCAGTCATGACACAATCTATCCCAATGCCACATTATGACAAACTGCCACTGTAACAGACACTCTCATAGCACTGCATACAACAGCAGCAATTATGACAGATCATATCGCAGCACTGCACCGAATGACACGAGTCATGACTTATATATATATAAGAATGAGCTAAAGTAATATAACGCCAAAGAGACGATACGGACCTAGTACGTTCAGATTCCTAAAAACAATAATAGTTCTATTATATTATGGAAATCGAATAATTTTAAATGCAAAAAAAACAAAAAAACATTTTAAATCCTCTTTTACTTTAGTAAAAGTTTAAGTATTATTATTACAAATACATTTAAAGCATCAAATAAGGAACTATTTTAAGAATTTTACCCGAATGTAAAAGTTATGAAAAAAAATTAATTAAAATATTATGATCTAAGAATTGCATCTTAATCACATTTATCGGGAAAACCCAAACATCTGTTATTCTTAGTGCATATTTTAGTGCGTTGTTAATATTGCGAAATAAAAATAAAATTTATTTGATCCAAATAATTACGCAAATGACGTCATAGCGCGATTGCCTATTTTAGCCACAGCTCTACGTTTCTTTGACTTTATAACCGCGCGTAACAAAACTGATAATACATTTTCCCCTTCTTAAAAGTAAAATTCATAAAAATAATATATGGCTTTTTAAATTGCTAAAATTTTCTAAAATTAAATACAACTTTAGCTTTGTATTTTTAACATTTAATAAGTTTTTACTTTATTCTTTCTAAAAAAAAAAAACTTTTATGAGACTTATGACGTAGTAAAAAACTTAACCTTGACATAGACTTTAATACGAAAATGCCGTTCAATGCAATCAGTGCAAAACTTTGGTAAGTTGTTGAGTGCCCGCCCGCAAAGGTTTCTGAATTATCTTCTCCATTTTGAAATATTCCGGGAGCCCTAAATTCTCATTATCTTAAATGAACTATAAAAATATAATTTCAAACAGAGTTATTGCATGTGTGGATGGAATGGAATCAAATACGAGCGACATTTTATTTTGTGTGTGACATCATAAGTAGGTTTTTGAATTAGTGCAACCATTTTTACAATTTTCCGTTTTTGGCCGGGGGGCCTTATTTTTTTTATAATTGTGATCTATATAAATATAATTTCAAACAGAGCTACTGAATGAATTCATCAATGGCTAAAATTGTGTTGACTAAATTTTAAAAACCCACGTTTCTCTCCTGCATAGTGGTAGTTGGCCTGCTCACGCTTTTAAAAAACACCTTCTTATTTAATTGTGTACGCACCAGACGGAGATTTTGTATTTAAAAATTGCTAAAAAAAACGTAATTAAAACACAAGCACTTTTATTTATTTGAGTGGCATGGCAACGCATGCCGGGTTCTCGCTAGTAATATAATAGCAAATAAACAACAAAAATATGATAGATTATGTCATAGCACGACATACAACAACACCAAACATGATAGACTATTTCGTAGCACTACTTAGAATAAAACTAATCATGACATAAATGATTTTAAAGCACTACTCTGAGACATACTGCAAGTTTTATAAATGCTATGAGAAGTTTGGAAAATTAAAGTTTGAGGGGGGGAAAAATCGAAAAACTAGGCTTATTTCAAAATAACTTCCGCACCATTTGGAACAGTCAATACAACGGTGCGCACACTAATTTAACTTTGTCTGTGTCCATGGTTGTTGTGGTTCCATTTGAATGATTTATCAATGTTGTATTAAGAGCTAAAAATATGAAACACTTCTATATATTTTGGTTGAATGTATTTGGTAAGCACGTCCATAGTTTATGTTATAAAAGAAGAGCTTCATATTAGTTTATTATGCTTTTATGTAACGCTTTGCTGATCCATGAAGTTTGAATGGGGGAAGAACTTAAAGGAAATGTCCAAAAAAAAAGATTGTATGACATTTGTTGACTTAGAGTTGACTGATGGTATTTATCATTAGAATGTTCAACTGCTTATCGGCAGAAAATAGCTAGGTGGACAGTAGTTCATCAACTTATCGGTAGACGTTAGGAACACAGTCCATCAGTCTTCCTGCAGACCTCGGCTATCTTAAAATTGATAACTTTGCAGTTTTAAAAAAACAACAACTATTAATAGTATAACTCGAATGAAAAGCCCCTCCCCCCCCCCCAAACCCAACTTCAACCCGTCCCACAGCCCTGTACATCTAACTCTTGCCGTCATCAATTGTTCCCTAGTCTTTGGTGGGCAAAGTGTTGTGGACAAAACTACAGTCGTAGAGGGTCAGACGTTTAACATTACATGCGATCACCTCCATGTGAACGGAACCATTCCGAGCTGCAGATTAGTTTTCTTAGACGTGAAAAAAAGTGTGGCTTCTCAAAGCAACTCGATAATAATTTCTCTTCCCCTTGATCAAGTTAACAAAGTAAGAACATATTGTAAATTACTTACAATCAGTCATATAAAAAATTGCTACACGGCGTGCGTCTCATTCAATGATCAAGTCAAAAATAATCAGTGTCGTTACTTTATTAACGAAAAACAAATTATGGTTTAAATATCAGCAATTCTTTAGAGTGTAACAACACATTAAACACCTTTAAAAAAAAATCATACACGTTGCACTGTTTAATACATCACGCACATAACACAAAAAACAGAGTATCACGTAATCTAACAAAAATGTATTTTTACATAAAGATGCCCAGTCATTGGACGAGAGATTGCAAAAACCCAAAGGCTAATGTAGACGCTACAAAGTTTCAGTGCAAAATAATCGTAAAAGAAGCAAAGCTTTCCGACAGTGGTCGATACGTATGTGCAATTGGCGTTCTTTGCGGTGAAGGCCATAGCACTAATTTTGAGGGCCTCTTGGATGTTGTTGTCCTAAAAGGTAAAGTAAGGAAACTCTGTCTTTTCTATGGCATGTTAATTAGATGTTACCTGTGTGTTTCGATATCTTTGTTCTACGAGGTAGTTAGCATGGTGACATTGGATATCTTTGTTCTGAGACGTAGTTTAACTTGGGGGTCAATGGACATGTTTGTTCTGGGACATAGTTTAGCATTGGGACAGTGGGCATGTTTGTTCTGAGACGTAGTTTAACTTGGGGGTCAATGGACATGTTTGTTCTGGGACATAGTTTAGCATTGGGACAGTGGGCATGTTTGTTCTGGGACGTAGGTTAACATGGGGACAATGTACATCTTTGTTATTAATGAGTGGGAAAAAAAAGCTAATAAAAAGATGAGGGCCTTCCACAATCCTAGTTCATGGGGACATTTGTCTTAAAAAATATGAGGATTTGTTACTACTGCACAATGAGCTGTTAATATAACTTCCTCTTAACGAAAAACAAAATTCTGTCTAGAAGACACGTATTTTACACGTAAACGTACTGCATTATAATGAGCTGGGATGATCTGTTGTTCTATGTCACATGGAGGTGAGAGACACAATGAGAGACATAAGGAGAGACTTAACGTACTGCATTATAATAAGCTGGGATGATCGGTTGTTCTATGTCACATGGAGGTGAGAGACACAATGAGAGACATAAGGAGAGACTTAACGTACTGCATTATAATGAGCTGGGATGATCGGTTGTTCTATGTCACATGGAGGTGAGAGACATAATGAGAGACATAATGAGAGACACAATGAGAGACATAATGAGAGACATAATGAGAGACACAATGAGAGACATAATGAGAGACATAATGAGAGACATAATGAGAGACATAATGAGAGACATAATGAGAGACATAATGAGAGACACAATGAGACACATAAATGATCGACATATTATGTTATTGATGTTTGCATTGATACAAAACTATAAGAAGTGTCACGGATGGTTTGCGCACTATTTGTTTAGAAGGTACCTCAACTCGGGAGTTGCCGTGTAAGGTACGCCTATATGCTATCATATTATAATCGTACAGGGTGCCCCCTCCTCCATGTGTCGGAAGAGTTTTAATTCTCTTAGTACTTTATACTGACTTTTCGATCATATGTGATCGGTGGATTATAACTCATTTTTTTTCTCGACTTTTTATTTATCAAAGTCACTTTTACGCGTTAATATAATTTAATGGATAAATTTGTTCAAAATATAAATTTTTAGCGTAAATTAACTTCTTTAATAGAAAAAAAAAACATTATTCCGTGATTCGTATTTCGCTTTTGTTGATGGCGCGTTTCCATCAGCCATATTGCCAATCATTTCAAACTAAAATGATGGTTGGTAGCACAAAATGACACAAAAATGGCTTAAAATTTATCTTCCAACGATGTTGTTCATTTTATTTCAAGTCAAGAAGTGATAGATAAAAATACGACTACTCATTTTTGTGTGTGCATGTTCGCCTTATTGAAAGTTAGCTATCAGCTGTGAGAATTTTTTCTTTGTTACAACGGATCAAAACGCACTCAAACTTTATGGAAATAGTGAAATAAACTATATTTATATACTTGAATATTTGGCTTTATAAAAACTATACTTACATTGATATACTGTTACAGTGGGCTTCATAAATAACTATACTTTCATTGGTATATTTCAACAGTGGGATTCATTAGATTATATTTGCATTAATATAATGTAACATAGTACAGTGATTTTAATTGTAGATTTTAATTGTAATACAGGGGTGCATAATTGACTCAGGCAACCAATCATGCGCTGCATCCTTTTCATAATCTCGATAACATTATAATGAATGCATGTTATATTTGACATAACGGCGCTAGAGTGAAGCCGCGAAAGTCGAAGCTCGAAGTAGCAAGGGGCGACTGTAATCCTTGATGAAAGCTGCTCACAGCTGCATAGGGACCTACTTAACCTATCATATTGTTAGAGACTTGAGTGTATAACGTGATTGCGTGTTGGTTTGAGATTATGTGTGTTGTTTTATCTATTATTTTTAGTATCTTGTGACGTATTGTGTGGAAAGGGATATGACGTATTATTATTGTAGAGTGTTGTTCTTGGAGTCTAGTAACGGCAGTTGAGGAATTAGTTGATTAATAAAGATATTTCAAACAAGAATTATAGTTGTGAAGTGTATATAATACACCCCTAGACAACGAAGCCAACGAACTTAATAAGTAAGAATAGGTTTGTAACATTTGGGAGGTTCGTCCGCGATGGGCGCCCATATACTGCCGTGACAGCATACTGATGTATACCATGGTCCTGTGTCCCGTTGGGTTTGAATCCAGCTGCCTGGCCTGTATCCTGCTTGGCCACTATCCCACTTGGCCTTTATCCAGCGACCATAGTACGCTGCTGTGCTGTTTCCCGGTTTGACATTAGGCCGCTGTCTTGCCTGTCTCCTGCTTGGCCAGTATCCCACTGGGCCTGTATCCAGCGACCATCGTATGCTGCTCTGCTGTTTCCCGGTTTGACGTTGGCCCGCTGCCTGGCCTGTATCCTGCTTGGCCAGTATCCCACTTGGCCTTTATCCAGCGACCATAGTACGCTGCTGTGCTGTTTCCCGGTTTGACGTTGGGTCGCTGTCTGGCCTGTATCCTGCTTCGCCAGCATCCCACTGTGCCTGTATCACTCTGTGACTGCATCCTAACGTTACTGTTTCCTGCTGTGCACTGTGCTGTACCCCTAATTTGACAGTGTACTGCTGTCCGTTCAACACATTAGTGATAAGACCAATACCGGTGGTCCAGAGATCCGTGAGGGACAAGATAAAGACTAAAGTTACTTGTTTTATTTGTGTTCTCTTTATAATTAGGGAAGATTTTGTTAATAAACATATACATATATAGATAGATATACTTACTTTTTGTGTTATATAACATATTTAAATGAATTATTTTAGTCTATTGTATTGGACCTTGCCCAATTGTTAAATTTATGATTATAAACAATGGAAACAACGAGTGTAGATGAAACCTATATGTTGGAACTACGAGAGTTTGGAGAGGACCTGGGTTATAAAGACGAGGCTCTTACTAGGTGGGTGGAAAGGAAACTGATAGAAAAGGATAAGCTAGAAAAGGAGGAGAGGGATAAAGAACGAGATAGACAAGATAAGATAGAAAGGGAGGAGAGGGATAAAGAACGAGAAAGACAAGTTAGGCTAGAACGGGAAGAACGAGATAGACAAGTTAGGCTAGAACGGGAAGAACGAGAAAGACAAGTTAAGCTAGAACGGGAAGAACGAGAAAGACAAGTTAAGCTAGAACGGGAAGAACGAGAAAGACAAGTTAAGCTAGAACGGGAAGAACGAGAAAGACAAGTTAAGCTAGAACGGGAAGAACGAGAAAGACAAGTTAAGCTAGAACGGGAAGAACGAGAAAGACAATATAGGCTAGAACGGGAAGAACGAGATAGACAAGTTAAGCTAGAACGGGAAGAACGAGAAAGACAATATAGGCTAGAACGGGAAGAACGTGAAAGACAAGCTAGACTAGACCGGGAAGAACGAGATAGACAAGTTAGGCTAGAACGGGAAGAACGAGAAAGACAAGTTAAGCTATAACGGGAAGAATGAGATAGACAAGTTAGGCTAGAACGGGAAAAACGAGAAAGACAAGCTAGACTAGACCGGGAAGAACGAGATAGACAAGTTAGGCTAGAACGGGAAGAACGAGAAAGACAAGTTAAGCTAGAACGGGAAGAACGAGATAGACAAGTTAGGCTAGAACGGGAAGAACGAGAAAGACAAGTGAGGCTAGAACGGGAAGAACGTGAAAGATAAGTTAGACTAGAACATCTGGCCCAGGAGCTGGCAGAGGCAGAATTAAAGTTACAGGAAAAACATAATATGTGGAGAGAGGAATTAAGTAATAAACAAGTGGATGAGGTTGAGAAATGGAAAAGTGAGAGAAAGAGAGATGAGATTCGTGTGATTAAGGAAACCGGGAGGCAGTGGGTGAAAGTTAAAAAGAGTAAATCACTTTTGTCAAAGAGTTTAAGGAACATATTAACGAAGTTGTGGAGGAACTTAGGTATCCTGAGGAATGTGGTGCTGATGTGGCTGAGGACAGGGAGAACGATTTGATTATAGGGGCAATTAACGTGGTAAATTTAAATGACCATAGGGTTGAAATTAAGGAGGCCAGGAATGTTTTAAATGTAGATGAAAGTCAGGAGTCAGTTAGAAATTTTGCTAGTCAGGTAGAAAAAAATGGGGCTGAGTGTGGTTAAATTGATGAAGTGGTACTAAATGTAGGCATAGCACGGTGTTGTCTTGAGGATGTTTCATTGCCTGTGGAGATTGCAGATATAACATTCGATAATGCACAGGAAATAAATATGTATTATGAATGTGTGCAGGCCATAGATTGTATCGTACAGCATGTGGATGATGAGGAAATACTAGATGGGGCTGTTGATGATGTAAAAGGTGTAGCTTTGGTAATTACACACTGTGAGGGTTTAAAATTTGAACAACAGGGAAATGTTGTTAGCTTATAAGAGAGATTTGTTGATTTTTTAGATGTTGATTTTGTGCAAGAGGGAGACGTTCATAACATTAAGATTTGGGTGAGCTACGGAGATCACGAGGTAGAGGTCGTGAGCTTGTCGAGGGGGCGTATGTTTAACAAGGTAGAAGTCATAGGAGATCACCTTACGTGGAGCTTCCACGGTAGTAGTCCAGTTGGGGAATTTTGTTTTGTAATAGACACTAGTTACTGGAGGTTTGAGAACCGTGGGGACACCAAGGTTAACGTTTGTAACAATGAACATAAATCTGACTTGAAGGCTGTGAGTTTTTCCCTGAGATGGGGGTAGAAGAGAAAAAATGTTTGAATTTTCATGTGTGTGATATATATATGATCACGAGAGACAGGAGTGCTCAAATTTTGAGAGTCATTACAGGTCCGTTTTTCGTAATTTGGTGAACGTGTGTGTTTTCCATGAATTGGGAGGTGATGTTATTAATTTCGTCATTATAACGGATTTTGTTCATGGTTGCAATTTTAATGATGATGAAATTATTATATTTAAGAATTTAAATGTGCAAAGATTGCATTTGTTAGACAATAATGTGTCAAAAGGCCATAACAAAATGAAGCAAGTGAGAATTGAGAGGGAAGAGTTAAGCTGTGAGAATTGAGAGGGAAGAGTTGAGCTGTGAGAATTGAGAGGGAAGTGTTGAGCTGTGAGAATTGAGAGGGAAGAGTTGAGCTGTGAGAATTGAGAGGGAAGAGTTGAGCTGTGAGAATTGAGAGGGAAGAGTTGAGCTGTGAGAATTGAGAGGGAAGAGTTGAGCTGTGAGAATTGAGAGGGAAGAGTTGAGCTGTGAGAATTGAGAGGGAAGAGTTGAGCTGTGAGAATTGAGAGGGAAGAGTTGAGCTGTGAGAATTGAGAGGGAAGAGTTGAGCTGTGAGAATTGAGAGGGAAGAGGTGAGCTGTGAGAATTGAGAGGGAAGAGTTGAGCGGTGAGAATTGAGAGGGAAGAGTTGAGCTGAGAGAGTTGAGAGGGAAGAGTTGAGCTGTGAGAATTTAGTGGGAAGAGTTGAGCTGTGAGAATTGAGAGGGAAGAGTTGAGCTGTGAGAATTGAGAGGGAAGAGTTGAGCTGTGAGAATTGAGAGGGAAGAGTTGAGCTGTGAGAATTGAGAGGGAAGAGTTGAGCTGTGAGAATTGAGAGGGAAGAGTTAAGCTGTGAGAATTGAGAGGGAAGAGTTGAGCTGTGAGAATTGAGAGGGAAGAGTTGAGCTGTGAGAATTGAGAGGGAAGAGTTGAGCTGTGAGAATTGAGAGGGAAGAGTTGAGCTGTGAGAATTGAGAGGGAAGAGTTGAGCTGTGAGAATTGAGAGGGAAGAGTTGAGCTGTGAGAATTGAGAGGGAAGAGTTGAGCTGTGAGAATTGAGAGGGAAGAGTTGAGCTGTGAGAATTGAGAGGGAAGAGTTGAGCTGTGAGAATTGAGAGGGAAGAGTTGAGCTGTGAGAATTGAGAGGGAAGAGTTGAGCTGTGAGAATTGAGAGGGAAGAGTTGAGCTGTGAGAATTGAGAGGGAAGAGTTGAGCTGTGAGAATTGAGAGGGAAGAGTTGAGCTGTGAGAATTGAGAGGGAAGAGTTGAGCTGTGAGAATTGAGAGGGAAGAGTTGAGCTGTGAGAATTGAGAGGGAAGAGTTGAGCTGTGAGAATTGAGAGGGAAGAGTTGAGCTGTGAGAATTGAGAGGGAAGAGTTGAGCTGTGAGAATTGAGAGGGAAGAGTTGAGCTGTGAGAATTGAGAGGGAAGAGTTGAGCTGTGAGAATTGAGAGGGAAGAGTTGAGCTGTGAGAATTGAGAGGGAAGAGTTGAGCTGTGAGAATTGAGAGGGAAGAGTTGAGCTGTGAGAATTGAGAGGGAAGAGTTGAGCTGTGAGAATTGAGAGGGAAGAGTTGAGCTGTGAGAATTGAGAGGGAAGAGTTGAGCTGTGAGAATTGAGAGGGAAGAGTTGAGCTGTGAGAATTGAGAGGGAAGAGTTGAGCTGTGAGAATTGAGAGGGAAGAGTTGAGCTGTGAGAATTGAGAGGGAAGAGTTGAGCTGTGAGAATTGAGAGGGAAGAGTTGAGCTGTGAGAATTGAGAGGGAAGAGTTGAGCTGTGAGAATTGAGAGGGAAGAGTTGAGCTGTGAGAATTGAGAGGGAAGAGTTGAGCTGTGAGAATTGAGAGGGAAGAGTTGAGCTGTGAGAATTGAGAGGGAAGAGTTGAGCTGTGAGAATTGAGAGGGAAGAGTTGAGCTGTGAGAATTGAGAGGGAAGAGTTGAGCTGTGAGAATTGAGAGGGAAGAGTTGAGCTGTGAGAATTGAGAGGGAAGAGTTGAGCTGTGAGAATTGAGAGGGAAGAGTTGAGCTGTGAGAATTGAGAGGGAAGAGTTGAGCTGTGAGAATTGAGAGGGAAGAGTTGAGCTGTGAGAATTGAGAGGGAAGAGTTGAGCTGTGAGAATTGAGAGGGAAGAGTTGAGCTGTGAGAATTGAGAGGGAAGAGTTGAGCTGTGAGAATTGAGAGGGAAGAGTTGAGCTGTGAGAATTGAGAGGGAAGAGTTGAGCTGTGAGAATTGAGAGGGAAGAGTTGAGCTGTGAGAATTGAGAGGGAAGAGTTGAGCTGTGAGAATTGAGAGGGAAGAGTTGAGCTGTGAGAATTGAGAGGGAAGAGTTGAGCTGTGAGAATTGAGAGGGAAGAGTTGAGCTGTGAGAATTGAGAGGGAAGAGTTGAGCTGTGAGAATTGAGAGGGAAGAGTTGAGCTGTGAGAATTGAGAGGGAAGAGTTGAGCTGTGAGAATTGAGAGGGAAGAGTTGAGCTGTGAGAATTGAGAGGGAAGAGTTGAGCTGTGAGAATTGAGAGGGAAGAGTTGAGCTGTGAGAATTGAGAGGGAAGAGTTAAGCTGGTGTAAAAATATGCACGCTTTTTGTCAGGCGACTGACAGGTGTAATATCCCGACCTCTTTAAAAATGACTTTGGCACTGGACAATTTAAGGATGTCCACATGTGTCCATAGATGTTAATTTTTTTTTTCCATTTAACAGGCAGAGAGGCAGAGTTTTAGTTTATTTTGTGGTCAATTTATGTGTGCGGGACAATAATTTTGTTGTCAATGTTATAATTTGAAAGAGTATATAAAATCTAACAGACGTTAAAATTTAGCATTGAAGTTTTCATTTTTAGGATGTATTTTTGAAAAGCTTGTATGTCATTGTTCATTTTTTTTTTGAACTAATTTTCTTGGTAATAACATTATGAAATTATATTGTATTCTTTCTATGGCAAAATAACACTGAGTAGAGTTGTGTACAGACACTATACTCCTGTGCCTGAAATAGTTGGTAGTGTTGTGTACAGACACTATACTCCTGTGCCTGAAATAGTTGGTAGTGTTGTGTACAGACACTATACTCCTGTGCCTGAAATAGTTGGTAGTGTTGTGTACAGACACTAAACTCCTGTGCCTGAAATAGTTGGTAGTGGTGTGTACAGACACTATACATTTGTGCCTGAGACGAGCGTTTTAACTAGTCAAAGCCGTATAATTGACGCCTCGTGTAAGATTAAGATATCCTGGTAATGTTTTCAGAAATGTGTTTACTAAGCAGTATCTTTAGGACATAGAAATGTTTAGATGTTATTGTTTGGAACGTGCCTGAGTAAGGTGGAGGATTATGTAAACTGCTGCGATAGTGGGAGACAATTGGAGTTTGGACAAGAGGGAGATTTAGATCTGGTCCGATGTTTTCAAAAATGTTAGGACCTGGACAAGTTACGGTAATAACGATGTGGAGGTTATGAGCTTGTCAATGACATTCCTAAGAATAAAGGGAATGATTTTATGTCCATCTCCAACTCAGACAATTTTACTGTGGCTAATGGTTTTTAACTTAGTTAAGAAATTTACATGGAGGAGGTTAGTTGTTTTCTTTCTTTTTTTCCCCCCTAAGTTGGAGTTAGATGAGAGAGTTTTAGTTTTCATAATGTGCATGATAAGATGATATACTATATTTGTGAGCAGGAATTGCTCAGAATTAAATTGTATTGAAGGGTTTGACTTTGTTGAGTTGGGAGGTGGTACTAACAATTTTTATGTATGTTGCCAGATTGGTTACACATTTTGGGGTGGCAATGTGTTATAAATTTCTTTGTAATACATGTCGCTTATTGAAAATGTAATATTTCAATTGATTGGTTTACATTTGGTAGTTATTCTTGTTAATTGTTATATATGTAAAAAGCTATATCTATGAAGTATTTAAATAGATTTTAATAGGACAACTTTTAAATTTTAACTTTATTATTTATCCGTCTGATATTTATAGGGCACCTATCTCAGGCAAAGCTAAATCGGTACAGTTGTGTAATGGGCCCCCCCTGGGCCCCATGATTAACTTAAAATAAAATGGATTATAATTATGGTATTTGTTGAAGATTTTTATCGTATTTAAAATAATTAGAAACGTAGTTTTACACATGTTCGAGCAGGTTATTAAATTTAATCTAGAATGTTCCAGTTAGTTCTAAATTGTTCCACGAGGATATATAGTTGGATCTAATGGAAAATGAAATTTTAATAAGTTTTCTATTTATGTCTATACTGTCCCGGAGTTAACTGTTCTCTCAGTGCCACTGAAGAATTTTTTGATGCTGGATACCAAAGGGGTCAGGATCCCATCATAATGTTTAGCCCAACGGGATCAGGATCCCACCAGAAAACGGGATCCCATCGGGATCGGGATCCTAACCTTGAATGTATCCACCGGGATCGGGATCACACCGGGACACGGGACTGCGCCGGAATCGGTGTCAGCATGGGATTGGGGTCTCAATGGGATCGGGGTCTCACCAGGACCGGGGTCCTAATGCAATCCCGTGCAACGCCGGGTACATTGGCTAGTATATATATAAAAGTGCAAGTTTGTTTGTTTGTCTGTCTGTTTGTTCCACAAAGGCTTTTACATGGATAGATGGATCTTGACCAAACTTTGCACATATATCCATCATGATCCAGAAGGCACTCTTAAGGGGTTATAAAGTTTTTATAACATTCCGTTTGGGGTTCGGGGCGCCGAAATCCTTTTTTTCCTTATATAAGCTATATAAATAAAATTAACAACAAATACCCTTGCATCTATAGATGGATCTTGACCAAACTTAGTGTACTTACACTTAATTAACCATACTAAAAACCGAAAGATACTGACCTCATAATATACATCCCTCTGGGGCCGAGGGCCCAGTTTCATTTTTTCTTTTATTGGCTATATAAATATTAGTAAGCTTAATACTCCTACATGAATGGGTGGATCTTGACCAAACGTTGTACACATATACTTGATTATATATATTCAAATATCGAACTGTAATGAACTCATAATATCATTTCTTCTAGGGCCAGGGGCCCCATTTTATTTTTTTTATCTAAGCTATATAAATATCAATAGGCCTAAAAAAACACTATAGTTTCTATGTGAATTGATTGATATAAGCATAGCGTGGTAGCAATACCCTTCATGGTCCGTATTGAAATATCGGTGGATTTAAAACTATTCAATCCATGCAGGGCCGATCTAGAATTTTCTATAAAGTTCCTTAGTTTTATAAAGCTATAACAATTGTATTTTTTATCCTATTTTAATGGGAAAACTTTTAAATTTTAACTCTATAATTTATCTGAATGATTTTAATCGGGCCCCCACGCCATTTCAGACATAACTTAAACGGTACTTTATTAAATGGGCCCGCTCCGGGGTCCACATTTTATTTTAAATGTACTATAGTTATAGTAGTTTATTTAAGTTGTATAATAATTCGCATTCGAGAAATAATTATGTAGCAGAGTAAATTTTTTACGCATTTCATGGAAGATATTAAATTTAATCTAGAATGTTCCAGAAGGATCTTCATTGTTTCAAGGAGATATATAATGGGATCTAAAAGCTTCACCAATAAACTGAACCACATCGGTTACGCGATCCCATCTGGAAACGCAATCAAACCGGGATCGGGATCCTATCGGGAAAAGGTTAACATCGGAAAAGAGAGTCATTAGGTGGAACGAGACCCCACAGAGAACTGTATCCTAACGGGGTTGGTAGGCCATTGGGATCCACCGAGATCAGGATCCCACTGGGATCAAGACACTTACGGGATCGGAATCCCACTGGGATATGGATTCCCCCTGGATCTGGGCCCTCAAGAAAACCGAATCCCAACGGAAAAAGGGATTGCGCCAGGATCGGGGTGAGAATTGGATTGGGGTCCCATTGGGATTGGGGTCTTACCAGGATCGGGGTCCTAATGCAATCCCGCGAAACGCCGGTTATATTGGGTATATAAATAAAATTAACAACAAATACTCCTACATGAGCAGATGGATCTTGACCAAACTTAGTACACATACACATGATCATCCATATTTAGAAAATTACATTTCTAAATAATTATTTTTCAAATACGAAATATTATACAACTATTTTGCACTATTATAACTATAGTACACTTAAATTAAAGTAGGGGCCCCTGTGGAGGCCCATTTAATAAAGTACCTTTTTAGTTATGTCTGAGATGCCCTACAAATATCAGAATGATAAATAATAGATTTAAATTTAAAATTGTTCCCATTCAAATCTACTAACAAATGCCAAAGATATAGCTTTTTAAAATTATCGAACTTTCTGGAAAATTCTAGAATGGATATAATTAGTTTTAAATCCACCGATTTTTCAATACGTACCACGCTAGGCTTATATCGATCAATTCACATAGAAACTATAGTGTTGTCTCAGCCTATTGATATTGATATGGCTTATATAAGAAAAAATGAAACGGGGCCCCCGGCCCCATAGGAATGGATATTATGATGTAAAACCCTTCCGTATTTGAATATGGATGATCATGTGTATGTGTACTAAGTTTGGTCGCAGCAACCGGGCCGGACTTTCTAGGGGTTTGGGGTAGATATATTTAACGTCTCTAAAGTCCCCCCTTACCACACCGGGGGGACCGCGTAGTTGTTTAGACCGACGCCCTCTACTAGGGTTTGTATGGTTATTCTACGGCGCGACTAATTCACACCGTAGATGGGAGAGAGAGGTTGCCTAGGAGCAGTACCCTCAAGACTGCATATATAGAATCATCGGTGAAAGGTTGCCACACACCTTCACCTCATATCCATACGGCAACTGTAATCATGTCCCAACCTGTTTTTGCTTTAGTAATATAATTCGACTGCACTTGGTGGGAAGCCATGCCATCGTGCTCGTTCTAACGCAGTCTCCGTGCGTTACCTTTGCCTTTCAGCGCGGGTCCCCTACACGGTGATACTGTCCCCCGGGTAACGTTTCAGGGGGTTCGTGGCGAACGCCTCTTTATCAACATGCAAATTATAGGACAGACATGCTGACAAGAGCCCCGGGGGCAGAAAAAACAACTAGAATTGTCACTCAATCATCACAAAGGCCTACTCTGTACTATTCTAAACGTGCCAACCTTATTCATATCAAAACCTCTTTACCTTCTCATCCCCTCATTTAACGCTCAGTTGCTGAGCTCTTACGAGAAACGCATCGCAGTCTCCGAGTTTATCACTGATTGGCAGATTGACATTGTGTTTATCCAGAAGACTTGGCTATGAGGGGAAGTGCGCGAATCTCGCTCCATCTGGCTATTCTGTTCGATCATTTACTCGTTCAGCTCGCGGTGGAGGCACTGCTGATATCTATAGAGACACGTTGGCCCATCATACAGCTTTTGTCACAGACCTCCCATTCGCTAACACATCTTTTGAAGCAGTTTTACTTAATATGTCAGCGCCCCAGCAGAACGTTCATTTTATTTGCATTGATCGCATCTTTGCTAGTAAGAAAAATAAGCTGAATAGTGCAGTGTTTGGTCGGGAACTTACGGATTGGGTTGATCGCTGCAACACATTGGCCGGGACTTGTAATGCAGGAGAATATATGAACTTTCACTTCGTCAGCCACGTAACTCCTCTCCTGCCAGGATGATGGATCTTTTGGACTTATTTTGTCTTCAGCAATAAGTCGACCAAACGACTCATAATCGTGGACATGTTCTTGATTGGGTGCTATTATACATGGGCCTCGGGATGGTGTTGTTAGATCTGCTTCAGTCCTCCATGAGCTATCCTCTCACCACTTCTGGGTTGGTTGCAAACTTAGTGTTTGGGCCCCCAATACTCTTCCTCAGTTCAGAGAGGTCCACAGTCTGCGAACTATAAACAAGGATGCCTTTAAGCACGACCTGAGTTTAGAAGTTTCCCTAGCCCTCTGGCCTACTTTAAAAAAACTAGACCATTCACTCCACGCAGTGCTTGACAGGTACGCCCCTGTCACCCGTCGCAATTTTAGGTCAGCACGGTCAGCTCTCTTGTATGTGACCATAAGAGAAGAACTACGCAGTTCCAAGAAAAAGCGGCGTAGTGCGGAAAAGAAGTGGTTGAGGCAAGGTCGTGTGTTGGTTTTTTTAGCAGATCTAGTCCGCTGCCAAGAAGCGTGTCACTCAGATTTGTTTGTCGTGTTAAGACTTTGTATTTCATCCCAAAATAAAATTATAGTTAAAACCAGAAAGGCAGTTGTTTGATGTTTGTAGCCACCTCAAAGGGAGGAACTAAGAAATTGTTCTTCCTTTCAGTGTTTCCTTTGCCCCTTGCCACAGCAAACAAATATTTTCTGTCATTTCTATACAAGCTAGTTACTGGCATTCGCGCTGAGCCAGATCGTATTGACGCACCGCCCCTAGATTTGCCTTCTCTTTATTTGTGTTAGTTCACGTTTCGATTTTTTAAAACCTGTTTCAGAACAAGAGATCAAAAGTATTATCTTAAATCTAAACCTGCGTCATGTTCTTTGAACTCCTTCCCCACAAACCTGTTGGTTCAGTCATTAGATCATTTTCTCCCAACGATACCCACATAATCAATGAAAGCTTATCTTCTGGAATTGTTACCCCTCATTGTAAGCCAGCTGTCATCAAACAATAATTGCTTAAGAAGCCTTGGCGGGATGAAAATAATGTTTACAAAAAAAAACTATAGACCTGTTTCTAACTTATTCTTATCTAAAGTCATTGAAAAACTAGTTCTAAAACAACTTTTTGCTTACTCAAACGACCACTCTCTTCTCAGTCCTAATCAGTCGGCCTATAGACATTTCCATAGACAGCTCTCTGGAGAGTCAGCAATGACCTCTTGCACGCAATGGACAGAGGTTATGTCTCCACCCTGATCCTCTTAGATCTCAGTGTGACCTTTGACACTGTTCACCAGGAAACCCTTTACAAAACCCTTGTAAATTACTTTGGAATTTCTTAGTCAGATTTAGTTTGGTTTAGATGCTACCTCTCCGATAGAACGAAGGTGGTCTCTGCCGATGGCTGTCTCTCGGCAGTGCTGATTTGGTGTACTGAGTGCCACAGGGGTCCGTTTTGGGTCCGGTTCTATTCACAATGTAAACCAGGCCACTGCTCCTATTGCTTGTGGATGATGCTGTTGAGAGCCAGGCATTTGCAGATGACACCTAGCTATTAAATCATACACATCCCTCTTTTGTCGATTCCGCTGTCTAGATTTTGCGTGAGTGCATTGGTGATGTCAAGTAATGGATGACACTCAGCAAGTTAAAGTTTAATTATGACAAAACGGGGGCACTCCTCCTTCAAAATTAAAAAAAAATCATCCTCTACATCAACTTTCCCCACCTCGTTTCAAGTGGGTAACTCCAACATACAGTTTACATCCTCTGCTAGGTATCTTGGTTATATTCTTTGTAACAACATGTCTCTCGATAAACATATCTCTCACATTTGTCAGTCTGCGTACACCGCAATCTGCCAGATCAGCTTCATCCGCCACTACCTTTCAGTTAGCGCAATAAAAACCTTAGCCTGTGCTCTTTTTCTCTCTTGTCTTGACTATTGAACCCTCTTCTGCAAGGTTAACCAAATCACTTCTAAGAAAAAATACAGAAGTTTCAAAACTCAGCAGCTAGAGTAGCCTAGTTCTAAAGGCAAAAAAAAAAAAAAAAATGATTACGTCATTCCACTTTGAACCCTCTTCTTCAAGGTTAACCAAATCCATTCTAAGAAAAAAAACAGAAGTTTCAAAACCCAGGAGCTAAAGTAGCCTAGTTCTAAAGGCAAAAAAAAAAAAAAAAATGATTACGTCATTCCACTACGTAACTCACTTCATTGGCTCCCTATACAGGCACGCATTGATTATAAGTTGTCCGTTCTCTCACAACTTTTTCTCGGATTTCTGCCCTTCCTTTCTAACCTAACGTCTTTCTATTCACCTCTTCGACAGCTTCGCTCCTCGGCAAACACGCGTATTCTGTGATTTCCCAAGACACGCACTAAAACATGTGGTGAACTGTCTTTCTCTTTCTGCGCCCCCAAACAATGGAATTCTCTCCCACTAAAGATCTGCAAGATACCGATAGCCCAGGCCTTCAAAACTGCACTTTAACACATCTCTTTAAACGCTACTACCCCCATCTGACCCCCCCCCCCACCTCTGGCCGTCAATGGCTTGACATGTAAAAGTTATGGGATGGGCGGGGTGAATATACATTTGTTTTGATTTTGTTGTTATACAGCTGATTTTTTTTATTAAATGTAAGTCATTTTTTTTAAAGTCACGATTATGTTTGCTAAAATTTGTATGTACAGCGCGGTGAGCCCAGTCCTAGGCGCACTGAGCAATTTATATCCAGTGGTTTCCTTTCCTTTGTCATTAATGAAAATTTGTCCAATGCTTCATCACACATCGGGTGTAAACAGGCTGCTCTGCCATTTTTAGTTTTCTGGGTGCAGGACCGCCGCAGTTATTTTTCATTCTTATCTGCCGCGGGGCAAATAGCGGATGAGTTGAGTATCTTGCATCTAGATTCTAGAACAAATAAATGCCAGATGTAAAGGGCGATTCATTGAGAAATAAAACATTGAAAGGAAAGCGATTCTATCTCTTGCTCCCCGCAATGCTGATTTTAGATGTTAGGTTATAAATAAATAGTTTGTAAATATGTGAAAGAATATTTTTTTATAAAGTCAAATAAAAGTTATTTTTAGTTTCAGAAACAACTACAAAGTCAGAAGCGTCCAACAACTTTGGCGAGAAAACCATCACTGGATTGTGTCTCATGATGATAGCGTTAATTCAACGATGATAGCACCATTGGATTTTGTCTCTTGATGATAGCTGCAACTCAACCATGATGGCACCATTGGATTTTGTCTCTTGATCATAGATGTAACTCAACTATGATGGGATCATTAGATTGTCTCTTATGATGATAGCTGCAACACATCTATAATGGCGCGATCATCTTCTTAGTGGCTGAACAAATATTTATTTGATTAAAAATGGAAGAATGTTTGTTATTTTTATTTTGCCAAATTTCATCTTGGAACTTGTCAATTCCATGCGTTTTACCATCGTATTTTTTCAAATAGAATCGTGATTTTTATTGATCAAAAGCTCTACACTGATCTTAATCTTGATGGAAACAACAGCCTAAAAAAAATAATGCATTTAAAGCTTAAATAAAGATTAATTTATTTACAGCAAGTGAAAGATTCCTCATATTGATTATGTTTCTTAATCAATCCGTTTATTATTCATCAGTTATATTTTTCAGTTTATTAAATAATTTTCGATGTCACGTTAAAATTTATAAGACTTTATGTTTTAATTCAGGAGACAAAAAGTTCCTCTCAAACAACTGTAAAGTAATTTAATGTAAATGTCCCGAGACTTTCCCTAGGTGTGTGCTGTCGTCCCGTTAAACGCCATATTTGTACATGACGTGTACATTTCTTGGGTACGCCAAAATTCTAACATAACTTCAAAGACTGAAACATGAGACAGTACAAGTAATATCTTAAACTGGCTTGAAACGTCAAAAGATTTCGTATTAGACGTAGCCTAAAACAATGAGACTCACTTTCTTGTATGTTATGTAACCAAACATTTCTGTCCCGTTACATGTTTTAATAAATTTCTTTTGTTTACAAAGAATTCGTTATGTAAACAGTACGAAACAATGAACTGATAACCAGCATTAATGAAATAAAATAATAATACCACATCTATTTAAATTAACAATAAATATATTAATTTATTCCAGTTTCAGTATGTCACATACGAAATTCAACATCATCTCTTTAAAAAAAATTTTTTTTGGTTTCTATTAACTTACAGTATAATGGGTACAGAAAATGGTTGTTGTAAATATGTATACTTAATATCACATACAAGCACACACAATGTATAGTTTCGTATAGTCCGAATGTGTAATTAACAGATGTAACCACCAAGTCCAGTATGTAGTTGTATGTCGTCATCTACCTTATAAACCTATCAGAAGGACAAGTCTATGTATGTTCACGTCACTCACAAGTGATACCAAAATGCTCTGGTGGCATCCTTCAAGTGGTGACATCTTGCAAGGATGGCATACTTCCATAGTGGCATACTGCAATGGTGGAATTCTTCAATGATGGTATCCTTCAATGATGGTATCCTTTAATGTTATTACTACAATCGTCTCGTCTTATAAAGTATGTATATAATGATGTATAGCTTTAAAAGTAGTAAAATATACGTCTTCGAAGCAATGTAATTTACATTGTATGTCTAGTGGTGTACTGCGTAAGAAGTAGTATAATTTACAGTATAGTTTTAGTACTATACATAGTATAAGCTCGATTAGGAAAGTCTTTGAATTGTCTAACACATGTATCGCTAGTCCATCGTAAAACATAAATACCCAATGTGTTAAACGTCATATCCTCGGCGCACGCCAAAATGTATATTTTCTCGAGCTAACTGTTGTGATATAATATGATTCGGAGTAAAAAGAAATAGATCCTGTAGTCCAGTTATTTCCGTTCAAACATTTATTTAAATAGATCTATGTTCAATACATTCACTTGAAAGATAGCACAATATAAAACGAGTAAAACAAAGTGGGGTTACACCTGGAAAAATGGGAACGTAAGAAAACAATAAACGTATCGTTGTTTTGTTGCGTCCCCTTTTTTCCAGGTGAAACTCCCCTTTGTTTTACTCATTTTGTATTGTGCTATCCTGATTGCAGTCTCTCCCCTTACTACCCTTGAAAGATTTTGTAGCTGGACGTGAATTTGCCAAAACACGTACTGCGTGATTGGAGAAATTTAAATCATTGTCTCTGTGGGATTTTTGTAGTGTATGGGAAAGTTAGCAATCAATCATTAGTCGTTCTCATAATCAGTGGTGGCTCTTAAACTTCCAAGGCAGAGAGCTATGATTCGATCTCATAATCAGTGGTAGCTCTTAAACTTCCAAGGCAGAGAGCTATGATTCGTTCTCATAATCAGTGGTGGCTCTTAAACTTCCAAGGCAGAGAGCTATGATTCGTTCTCATAATCAGTGGTGGCTCTTAAACTTCCAAGGCAGAGAGCTATGATTCGTTCTTATAATTTCCAGACCCAGTTGAGGAGTGACAGCGACATTTACAAGAATGAGTTCAGGCGTGACAGTGGCGTTCACCAGGCTCAGTTGAAAGGTGACAGTGGCGCTTCACCAGGCTGAGTTGAAAGGTGACAGTGGCGCTTCACCAGACTCAATTGAAAGGTGACAGTGGCGTTCACCAGACTCAGTTGAAAGATGACATTGGCGTTCACCAGGCTGAGTTGAAAGTTGACAGTGGCGCTTCACCAGACTCACAACTTTCCACTGTCACCGCAAGTGCAGACTCAGTTGAAAGGTGACAGTGGCGTTCACCAGACTCAGTTGAAAGGTGACAGTGGCGTTCACCAGACTCAGTTGAAAGGTGACAGTGGCGTTCACCAGGCTGAGTTGAAAGGTTACAGTGGCGTTAACCAGGCTGAGTTGAAAGGTGACAGTGGCGTTCACCAGACTCAGTTGAAAGGTGACAGTGGCGTTCACCAGACTCAGTTGAAAGGTGTCAGTGGCGTTCACCAGACTCAGTTGAAAGGTGACAGTGGCGTTCACCAGGCTGAGTTGAAAGGTGACAGTGGCGTTCACCAGGCTGAGTTGAAAGGTGACAGTGGCGTTCACAAGGCTGAGTTGAAAGGTGACAGTGGCGTTCACCAGACTCAGTTGAAGGATGACTGCGGCGTTCACCAGACTCAGCTGAAGGATGACTGCGGTGTTCATCAGACTCAGTTGAAAGGTGACTGCGACGTTCACCAGACTCAGTTGAGGCTTGGGAAGATATGGCGCAGAGATTTAGTTGGATGCTGAGGTGGCAGAGGTTCATTTGTCATTGTTATTTCTGGAATTTAGTTGGAGGGTGTGATAGTAGAGATTCATTATGGATGGGTGTCATTATTTAGTTGAGGGTGTGGTACTAGAGATGCAGTTGGACAGTTTGGTGTTTGTGGTGATGCTTGTGGCAGTGGTTAGGTTTAAATTTATGGTCGTGTTCTGTTAATTAAAGTGTTGGTCATGCTGTTGAGCCATATCTGGTATAGGGTAGTTGATTTCCGGTTGCATGTCCATTTCAAATAGAGACTGGTCTTCTATTTCTATGCCATCTTCCGTTGGGGGAACATCATCAGGACGTTCATCCTCGGTTGTTGCTTCCATTCGGTGACAACATCTCGCGTGTACACTAAGATAGAGTTAAATACAATATATAATGCTTATTATTAATTATTGATGCTTTTTAAAAAAAACTTCTCAACTCAAGCTAAGTTATTAATTTATTTTTTTAATTTTCGAACTTCTCACTATCTAATTCAAGACGGATCAATATTTTCTTTTATTTTTTTTGTGTGTGCTATTGTTAAGGTGACGTAAGTGAAATTAATTTTACATCAATGAACCCAAAAAATTGAGCTCCTGTAACAAAAGAAACCTTTTAAAACATTTTTAAAAGTTGAACTTACATTTGGGAACTTGCAATAATGCCTGAAGGAAAATTGAGGGGAAACATTTTAAAATTTAAAATCAAAACAGTACAGAAGCAAATTTTGTTCCTTACAAGTCTCCCCATTTTGATAACAATGATACGTTCTATTATTATGAAGCGAACCTTGACAGCCACTCCCGGCCACAATCCATACCTATTCAATCACGTCTAAAACCAATCTTCTCAATCAACCCCCCCCTCCACCTTTTTTATTCTTAATCAAAACCTAGTCTCTAATCTCTCTTTCTACAACCTAGTAAAGTATCCTTTGTCACAACCTAGTCAATCATCCCTTACAACAACCTAGTCAATCATTTCTTTCCACAACAAGTCAATCTTCCTTTGATACAACTTAGTCAATGCTCTTTTGCAACAGCCTAGGCAATCATTCCTTGCCTCAACTTAGTCAATCGTCCCTTTATACATTATAGAAAAACATCCTTTGCAACAACCTCGAAATCTTTCCTTGCCACTGCCACTACCTAGTCAATCACCCTTTGCAACAAACTAGTCAATCTGCCCTTGCCACAACCTATTCAACCATCCTTTGTTACAACTTTTAATCAATCATCCCTTTCTACACTTTAGACAAGCATTCCTTGCCCCAACCATATTGAACAAACTGGATGGTTTTGATCTTATAATATTTACAACTGTTCAGACCAATAATGAATTAATCAGGGTTCTTATATTAGTGAGCATTAAAACGTCACATGATCTAAATTGTCCTCATTGGTGTCCTTATTTTAACTTTAATGATTGTCCTCATTGGTGTCCTTATTTTAACTTTAATGATTGTCCTCATTGGTGTCCTTATTTTAACTTTAATGATTGTCCTCATTGGTGTCCTTATTTTAACTTTAATGATTGTCCTCATTGGTGTCCTTATTTTAACTTTAATGATTGTCCTCATTGGTGTCCTTATTTTAACTTTAATGATTGTCCTCATTGGTGTCCTTATTTTAACTTTAATGATTGTCCTCATTGGTGTCCTTATTTTAACTTTAATGATTGTCCTCATTGGTGTCCTTATTTTAACTTTAATGATTGTCCTCATTGGTGTCCTNATATATATATATATATATATATATATATATATATATATATATATATAGATATATATATAAATGACATATGCTGACCGTAACGCAAAAGAACCGAAAAAATTTAAATACGTTCTGGATTCTTAACTGCGATCATAGTTATTTTCTATTTTTTTACGGAAATCTAATAAATTTTAATTCGCTAATCATCAGGGCCTGGTGACATATTTGTTGTTGAAGAAAGTCAAGCAGACTTGGATTCTGTTTGTATGATCAAACAAATCAGTTTACAGATCAGACCAACAGACCCAGGAGTCCTTGCTAAAGAGTCACTTAAAGATTCTACTGTGTCTGCAGTAATGAGATATTGTCAAGAGGGCTGGCCGTCCTCTACTACAAACAAAGAACACTTGAACAAGGAGGCAGCTAATATAGCAGCTTTTAAAAATATTCAAGACTCTCTCTCCGTGGAGTCGAATTGTCTATTTTATGGTTCAAGAATTGTGGTACCAAAAATACTACAAGCTCAAGTTCTCCAAATCCTGCATACAGGACCTTTTGGAATCGAGCGGATGAAACAGTTAGCAAGATCATC